AAGATGAAACAGAATTGGTGGAGAAAAATGCTTTTGAAGAGCTTAAGAAACTGGCTACTGCATCGTTGAATAGGAAGCCTCATCAGGTAATTGCAAACCTTTTTTATGAGGTGGGATCCACTTACACTGCACATAACTCTTAGTACACTTGCATTCTTTATGGATGTTGAATTTCGTTTATCCAACTTTTGAATAAAAGGTTATTATGTAATAAATCAGAATACAAAATTTCATAAAATTTAAAATTAGTGGTTGCTTCATTAGACAATTTAATTTTAACTTATAATATGTTTTTGAAAAATATGCGTAAACTTCAAATGTTAGTTTACATATATATAGATGTCTAATTTATCTAAATTTGGTGTATATGATCATTAAGATAATACTATATAATTCAATGGTTGCATTGGGTAAATTTGCTTTTTATAAAATGCTATTTAAGAAGTGCAAATGTGCCCACTGCCAAGTCTAGGTTATGTTAGTAGATCCCACCTGTTGTGTTTTTTTTTTTTTTTTGTGTGTGTGTGTGTGTGTGAGAGAGAGAGAGAGAGGTAAGACTGATCTCCTGCTCTTTTGTTCCATTAGCATTCACATTAACGTTGTTTCTTCAGAGTGATTTCCTTCCTAAAATTTATCAGAAGTTATATTTAACAAAAAAATGTAATTTGTGTTGTTGGCACAAATTGATTCCTTGTAGGGACGGTTGTATAGAAGTTTTACTTTCAAGTCTCTTGAGTATTTTATTGGATCAAGAAGTAGATGCATTTTTTGTCAGCTATTAATTTACTATTAAAATTATTATGACTAAGGAAAGGGCTTTTCTTGCCTCTTCTTTACTTTAGGCCTTGGTAAATGATTTTTAAACAAACCTGATGAATGCTCTGCTGGATAATATCATGATAGAATTTCTCTATTAGTAGGATGTAGACATGTAGTATATAATATCATGATAGAGTTTCTCTCTTGGTGGGATCCAAGAGCCGCATAATATCCTCTCTTGTTGCTTGACTATGAATAGCTGATTTACTTGTAAGATATTGATCCCTATATTACTTCTTTGGCTGATGCCTCTGAATATGTGCTGTGGGTTGAACAGGCTAAATTGTCAAAGAGGCCTAGTCAAGTCACTGATCCTGTTAAACATAGAGGTTTTGTTGCTTATGAGCGTGAAGGTGTTAAGTACAGGAATCCCAATATTCGAATAAATGATTGGAAGGAAGTGATGGATGCGAGGAAGTCTGGTCCACTTATGAAAACCCAGTCAGCACGTTGCATGGACTGTGGTACTCCTTTCTGTCATCAGGTGTGCATTGCCCCTTTCATGAACCTTTCTTTTTTATGACTGCAATTTTTAGACTGAAGATACTTAAAAATAAACTTGCAGGAAAATTCTGGATGTCCTCTTGGTAATAAAATACCAGAATTTAATGAGTTAGTATACCAGAATAGGTGGCATGAAGCACTGGAGAGGCTTCTTGAGACAAATAACTTCCCGGAGTTTACTGGTAGGGTATGCCCAGCACCTTGTGAAGGTTCTTGTGTTCTTGGTATTATTGAGAATCCGGTATCTATTAAAAGAATAGAATGTGCTATCATAGACAAGGCTTTTGAGGAGGGTCGGATGGTACCACGACCTCCAGCTAGGAGAACTGGGTATGAAATTTTTTTTCTTATTTGACTTGTCTTCAATTTCATTTCCATTACTTATGGTGTTCCATTTCAAATAAGTAGGTATAAAATATACAATCCACAAGTTGTTGTGCAGTGATTTTCATTTATTAAACTGTTCAACTTTGTTGTGGTTATTAGTAATATTAAACTGGCCATGAATTTTGTTACAATTATCACTGAGATAAATAGTACCGTTAGTCAATATCTTCACTGATGCAGGAAAAGAGTGGCCATTGTTGGAAGCGGACCAGCTGGCTTGGCAGCTGCTGATCAACTGAACAAAATGGGTCATACAGTAACTGTGTATGAAAGAGATGATAGGATTGGAGGGCTTATGATGTATGGAGTTCCCAACATGAAAGCCGACAAAGTGGATATAGTTCAGCGGCGGGTCAACCTTATGGCAGAGGAGGGAGTTAACTTTGTGGTGAATGCTAATATAGGTCATGATTCTTTATACTCTCTTGATAGGCTTCGAGAGGAAAATGATGCTATTGTCTTAGCTGTAGGAGCCACGAAACCAAGGTGACACATATTGCATATTCTTATATATATTATTATTGTTTGCACTTTTAGTTCAATTTAGCGTGGAATGGATGTATATTAGAAAATGGAATTGTTGTAGTGATGCTTGAACGGAGGTTTTACTTCTTAATGCAGGGATCTTCCAGTACCTGGGCGGGAGCTATCCGGAATTCATTTTGCTATGGAGTTTCTTCATGCAAACACTAAAAGCTTGCTTGATAGCAATCTCGAGGATGGCAACTTCATTTCTGCGAAGGGAAAGAAAGTTGTGGTCATTGGTGGGGGTGACACAGGCACTGATTGCATAGGGACATCCATTCGGCATGGGTGTAGTAGCATCACAAATCTGGAACTTCTCCCTCAGCCCCCAAAAAATAGGGCCCCAGGCAACCCTTGGCCACAGGTTAGATCCTTTGGTTCCTGAAATATTGCTTGTTTTTATTCTTTGCAGCACATTTGTCAGCATAGACAGCTTGAGAAATTGGAGTTTTCTCTGTACATCAACCGACGCCGTTAAGTGCCCTTTTAATTTTAATTATGGGTAATTTTGCTCTTGAAGTTTTCTATTTACATCAACTGATTCCTTGAAGTGTCCTAGAATGGCATGAGATCAGTTATAAGTTCCTGTAACTGAAACCTCTACCTTAAGCAAAATTGGTTTCTCGAGAATAACTGAAGAAATGTCATTTTTTTTTTCACGGTAATTGCGCTTGAGCTTTGTTTAACTACTGAATGTTTCTCGAATACAGTGGCCTCGCATATACCGTTTAGACTATGGGCACCAAGAAGGTGAAGCTAAATTTGGGAAAGATCCAAGATCTTATAAGGTATTGACCAAGCGGTTTGTCGGCGATGAAAATGGAGTTGTGAAGGGACTTGAAGTGGTACGTGTTCGCTGGGAAAAGGATGAAACTGGGAAGTTTCAATTTAAGGAAATTGAGGGCTCCGAGGAGATTATTGAGGCTGACATAGTTTTATTGGCCATGGGATTCCTTGGCCCTGAGTCCGTAAGTATTCATAATAACTTGATATCTTATGTATACAGAAGTTACTAAACTGAACTTGATATTATGGTGGTAGAAAAGTCGAAAGAAATCGATTGTTGCTAAAAGAAGTTAACAAGAATAAATTGGATTGTAATATAGCCATAGTGATTTTAGCTTTACTCGAATAATGTTAGATGCCTTCAGGCAAATGATGTCTCCATTAGGAAATTGCTAATTACTGATCTTTCTGCTCTGGGTTTTTCAGACAATTACAGAAAAGTTGGGTATAGAGCGAGACAATAGGTCAAACTTCAAGGCAGAGTATGGTCGCTTTTCAACCAGTGTTAGAGGGGTCTTTGCCGCTGGAGACTGTCGGCGTGGTCAGTCCCTGGTGGTGTGGGCAATTTCAGAGGGACGGCAAGCTGCAGCACAAGTTGACAGTTACCTCATAAATGATGAAGATACAGAGCACAACAATATTGATAGGAATCAGGGCGAACTTATCAAGGAGCAAGAGGATCTAACCTAGAGGCACCGGAGCAGTAGCAAACACACGGTGATGACTTAGTAGCCTTGCGTGATTTTTCGTTTCGTACTGCGCACTAATTCCTACAGAGAAAATAAATGTGGTTCCATAGGTGAGGTGAAGTTTCATTGGTCTACCATAGGCATTATAAGTTGGTAGTTGCTGTGCCAAATAAAGGAAAAATAGTAAAGGAAAGAAAATTAGTATAAGGCAAAGCAAAATGTTTGTCTTCTGTTTGGTGGTTTAATGGTTCAAAGTTATCACACAGAAATCTTGTTCATAGTTTTTATGCTGAAGCTTTCGTGCCGGAAAGGTTAGCTCTTAGTTAATTATTGCATTGTGGGAAATGAATGTACAGTTTGATAATTAATATTTAGATTATTGTTTCCATTTTGAACTGCTTTGAATGAGGATTAAGGTTCTTGAATATGTGATGTCTTTATTTAATTTTCTTAATGAAAACGAAACGATAAGTTTTTCCGATGGTAGCAAATAGCTTGGGAGGAAGTTTCATACATTGATTAGTTGAACGAGGGAAATAATAACCAGAAATTAGAAAGTGCATGGATTTGGATACACTTAAAAGTTATGCAGACTACGGATTATTAAGCAGTTAAATCGACAAATTTGGAGGTTTCTATTGTATCACTTTGTTTTGGGTATTAATCTATTTGCAAACCTGGTAGGTAGCGTGGTACAACACACAGATGCCACTCCTCTGAAGTAGCAGTGATAATTCGGCAATTGACTAACGAGTATCACACCATGAAATGCGACAAACTAGCAATAGCCTTTCATACTATAAATCTTCAAATTGAAATGGCGGATATTCCATCGTGCTACAAATGCTCCGCTGCCTTTTCAAGTCAACAGCTAAAATGGACTGGCGCTTGAATCAATTTCTCACGCCGTGACAGAAGTTAATTGCACCTTTGATAATCTATAAAAACCAGTCTCTCATAACGTGACTGAAATTAATTTTGGTACACATTCTAATCCAATTAATAGTTTAAAATTAATTTTATCAAAATTAAAAATAATCTCACTATTCAATCCACTGCTTCAGTGGGTAACTAAAAAAAAGCACTGCTTTATTTTACAAGCAAAAAGCATGACGCCCATAAAACCCTTCCCCAGTATGTTTTTCCGATCAAACCTCTTTTATGTTGATTGGCATTTTTTTTTCGGATAAAAAGAGAAGAAAACGAGAGGACCTTTAATTGGTGTGTACATAAAGCAAGATATTTGTATATTATAACATATGGTCCAGCACCACCACCATATTCGGTGACAAGATAAAAGTCAACACCATTTTCCCAAACATGATTCTCATACTCACGCTCTTCTTCCTCCTGAACCCTCCGCTAACACACCTAATAGTAGTAGCAAACATAGAAACATGCTTAGACAGTGTTTGCAAAACGAAGGAACCACTAATCCGATTCCCCTTCTACAAAAAGGAAAAGCAAGGAAAGACATGCGGATACCCAGGGTTCAGAGTATCATGCAGCGAGGAAGGCCAAACACTGCTCAACCTACCTTATTGGGGAGAACTCAGAATCCAAGAAATAAACTACGCCACACAGCAACTATGGGTTAACGACCCCAACAACTGTCTGCCGAAACGCCTTCTCTCTCTCAACCTTTCTGCCTCTCCATACGACGCCGTTTACTACCAAAAATTCACCTTCTTCAACTGCTCCTTCAACCTGGAGTACCTCGTCCATCGCTACAACCCCATACCTTGTCTTAGTGATTCCTCTAAATATGCCGTTTTCGCAACACCTTCTCCCACCGTCCACTCGTACTTGTCATCTGTTTGTGATTTCGTTGAGACGTTGAAGGTGCCGGTTCAGTCGCCGTTTTACGATCATGTTTTGTCGTCTGACCTCAGCGATGACCTACGTCTGTCGTGGGATTCGCCGGCGTGTGGGAGGTGCGAGTCCCACGGTGGCCGCTGCGCCTTCAAGACCAACTCCACTTTTGAACTTGACTGTTCCTATGTCTCTTCAGAAGGTACTACTGCAATCTCGCAAATTTTTTTTTGTAAAATTAAAATTATTTTATAATTGAAATTTAATTCTATTTGATGTCTAAAATTAATAACTTATATTCTAATAAGGAGTCACGGATGCACCTTCAATGTTTATTCTTATGTTGCTTTTGATATGTATTAAAGATATTTTCATTAGCTCTTATTCCTTTGTGGAAGAGTGTGTAAATATCTTGTAGTTGTAGACAACCGGGTTGGTCATCTTTTTAAATTATTTGTCCTTGAATAAAATTAACTTTCTTCCCGTTAATATATGGAAATTTGAATACAGATAAAACAACAACAAAAATTCCGTGTTTCAAGTTTCTTTAAAAATAAGAAAGTATTTGGAGGAGCTTATAAAATACTAATGTGGGACTCGCCTCATGAGTCGTGATAAGTTATTTTTCCTTCCATTAACAACTTGGATTTATGATGGATGCGCTTGGCCACGAATGGTTATGATTAAAATATTATATTATATATTCATATAATATTTTTATCTTTATTTTACTATTTATTATATTTTTTATATCTTTTTCTTCTTTCTACTTCATATGCCTAAAAATAGAGTATAACCTTATTTGGATGAGTTCATATATAAATCTTCATAAGAAAAAAATAATAATATAAAAAATAAATAAAACATTCTTTATAGATTAAAGTTAACTTATATTTCTTTATTTTTTAGAAGTTACTCTCATTTAAATTTTTTAAAATTTAAAATAATAAATTATTTTTAACTTGTACAATAAAATTATTTATTTATTGTATTATTTTTTATAAGTACTTTTCCATATATTCACCCTTATTTCTTAAAGATTTTGTACTTAACTCGCTGTTGTCCTTTTTGAATTGTTCGAACCGGCATTTTTTTTTTAATTATACGTTCCATCTAATTTGAAAAATAAAACAAGAGGATTCTACCCAAAAAATTAGCTTTTCACTGACATACGATTTGAGTTTGAAGATAAAACTAAAAGCTCTACTAATATGTGCTATGTAATTTTGCTGAGTTATCATTGAACATGTTTTTAAGAAAAAAGTATCTTTTAAGAAAATAATCATATAATAGAAGTTTTGTTAATTCACGTTCTTTACACACAAGAAATGATTGAATAATGATAGTATTGATTGTACCGACCTACCTGGATGTAGAATTTTTATTATTTAGCTAGTTAATTGGGGTAAGGGCAAATCATAAGCTATTTATACTTCAAATTATATGGTGCAATTAAAGGGCCTGTGTTTTTACAGTATTGTGTAAAAGAATTAAGTTAACCGTGAAATTTTTAACATTGACAGGGATTTCACGCGGTGCACGTTACGCCTTGGCCATATGCTTAGGGGTACCGGCGTTGCTGTGCTGCATGGGAATATTGAGTTGCATCTGCAGCAGGTTAAGAGTTGAGACCCAAGGTTGGGCTTGGGGTCATGAGACGGTGCCGGATTTTGAGGCTCTATCTGGGTCACGGCCCACCACCGTCTCAGGCCTTGATGGGCCTACAATTGAGTCCTACCCAAAAATAGTTATAGGCCAGAGCAAACGCTTACCCATGCCAGATGATAGGACCTGCTCAATATGCCTCTCTGAGTATGTGCCCAAAGAGACAGTGAAAAGCATACCTGAATGTGGACATTGCTTTCATGCACAATGCATCGATGAATGGCTTCCACTGAACGCGTCGTGCCCAATTTGCCGAACTTCTCCCCGAAAGCTACCACAACCCCTTGCACGATCATTATCATAATGCTTTAATTTTTTATCTCCCAATTTTATACACCAATTACTTGAGTTCAGTCGCTAATGCTATTGAAATATGCGTACTCTTTTCTTTTTCAGGACAGGCATAGTTCGTCAAATACTTCGTTCTCCTGCATTGTAATGTGAGACATATCTTACAACCCATAATGTAAATTCTTTGCTAAAGTAACCATTATGCTTGGTGAGCCTAAAATGTCTGTAATGAATCAAAAGGAAATCTAATTTCATGTGAAATAAACTCAAATTTTATGTTTTTGGTGGGTTTCTAATTAAACCTAAAGAAAAACAATTATAAACCTAACTCTTTGATGATTTCTAAATCAATGGCCTAGATGTCTAGTTGCCAGTCACGCACACACTCGCACTTTCTATTGTTTAAGGTTTATACAGAAGGATTTGTTGGCATTGGCTATTCCTCTGTGATTCAGTTTGAAAAAAAATAAAATGATAAAATAAATCCAATTTCTCTCAAATTAAAATCAAGTTAGCCACCACCATTATGTGTAGTACTAGTGACATTATCAAGGCTTTCCGCTATTACTGGTGGTTCTCTTAATTCTAACATGAATTATTGATGGGCTTAATTGCTCTATGATCTTAAAAAAAACAATTGTTTTTCCTCCTGAAGTGGGTAAGAATCATACATGAAGCTACATTTGTGACAAGAACAAGTGATCCTAGGATTGATCCCATTATTATCACAGTTTCATTTTAAGAAGTGATCGTTTCCTTGCTGGTTAATAAATAACACCCACAAGGAAGAACTAAACTTGAAAGTCAAGCTGTAGCCATTAGAGGTGTTGGCAATGAACCTACATCTAACATTAGCGGAACCCATTCTATGCAATCGACAAAAATAAAAATAAAAATTAATTGAATACTCATCAAACCTTATAAATGCGATTAATCCTTGTCTATTTCACCTAAATTAATTATATTTTAATTTTATTTATTTTTTGTTTGACGTTTATTTATAAATTAGTTTTTATACTTATTTTTTAGTCCTTATACAAATATTTTATTATATTTTATTCTTTATAAATATAACATTGTTAACGATAACAATTAGAACATAAATAATTGAGATTGTGATAAAGTACTAATATAAGAATTAAAATGTAAATTTTTTAAATATAAAAATAAATTCATAAATTAGTATAAAATATGGACTAAATGTATTATTTAGTCTTTAAATTTCTCTATTTTTTTGGTAAAAAATCTAAAAACTTTGATGTAATAACCAATCACATTCGGGTCAACAGAGTAAAAAAATGATAGCCCAGCCCAACCCAATTCAACCTGGAGAACCCCACACCAAAAACAGACAGTAGTAGTGCTTGGTTAAGTAAACTGCACCCGCCAGCCACGTGCAACGCGAGCGTCGCGAGGCCATTATTTCTTCTTCTTCTTCAAGTAAAATACTGAAGGTGAAATAATAGTGGTGATCGCATGTACAAGAACCGTTCTGAATTGATTTGAGGCATTTTGAGTTGTCGAATAGCGATGGGCGAGTAAGTTAGCTACTGAACATGACATTTGTTAATTTGAATTGTGTTAATGGAACTAAAATTGAAATTGACAGGGTGGTGGCTTCAGCTCCTGGGAAAGTGTTAATGACCGGTGGTTACCTCATTTTAGAGAGACCCAACGCAGGGCTTGTCCTCAGCACAAACGCTCGCTTCTACGCTATCGTTAAACCCCTCCATCACCAAATCAAACCCGATAGCTGGGCATGGGTTTGTGCCTGCGCTACTTGTATATATATATTTATATTCTTCTCTCTCTCTCTCTCTCATTGCTTCTTCGCTTTTCCTTCAGGCTTGGACGGATGTGAGATTAACCTCTCCTCAGCTCTCCAGAGAAGCACTCTACAAACTCGCACTAAAAAATCTTATAATCCAAACTGTTTCCACAAGGCACATTCTTCTACTTTGCTCTCAAATTACGTCATCCAGTTATTAAGGTCTAATTAGTGTTTTCTTGCGGTTAAGTTGGTGAGGGTTACGGTGATTGTTTTGTTGTTTCAGTGATACGAGAAATCCTTTTGTGGAATATGCAGTGCAGTATTCGGTGGCTGCTGCTTATGCGACCTTTGATCAGAATAAAAAGGATTTGTTACACAAACTGCTTTTACAGGGTGGATATTTTGTTTCTCAACACTTTAATAAATGAATAACAGCTTCAAGCCTTCATTTTTGGAACTGGATTCGTCTTGCAGGTCTTGACATTACTATTTTGGGTTGCAATGATTTTTATTCATATAGGAATGAGGTAATTTACCCTTTGTTTAATCCTATGTAATTTCTATGCGATGCCTATTTTGTCATTTGCCGTTCTCTTTAAATTTTGATGATATGAACATTTAAGGGCCTATATCAAAACTCTTTTAAGTCTGAAAAAATATGTCCTGCAGATTGAGAGACGTGGACTCCCTTTGACACCAGATTCATTGGCCACCCTCCCTGCTTTTTCCTCCATTACCTTCAATACCGATGATGCTAATGGAGGAAATTGCAAGCCTGAAGTAGCTAAAACTGGTTTGGGCTCATCTGCAGCAATGACAACAGCTGTGGTTGCTGCTTTACTTCACTACCTGGGTGCTGTAAAGCTTTCCTCTTTAAAAGATTTTAAGGAAAGGAAGGATATTACAGATCTTGATATGGTGCATAAAATAGCTCAAACTGCTCATTGTATTGCACAGGGGAAAGTAGGCAGTGGGTTTGATGTCAGTTCAGCTGTGTATGGCAGTCAGCGCTATGTGCGGTTTTCACCAGAAGTGATTTCCTCCACTCAGGTCTCTCTCTCTCCCCCCCCAAACTCATATGTCTATTGTATTGAGTAACTCAACTATGATTCTTGTTGATTCCAGTCTGTCAGCTACACACACACAGAGACAGATATGCATTTTTGAACTAACTATGCAAGTGTTATGAAACTTGCATAATGCAACCTCCCTGGTTTGTTTGACCCACATTTGGCTTCCATCTTGAGAATATTGCCTACTATTATCTGTGAATTATTGAAATTATCATGCCAAGTATGTTTGTATATTATGTAGCCACCAATGTGGGGATGGGGGTAGTAAAACAAACTAATTCTTTCAACTACCCCCATAATTATAGTTTGCCCATGTTAATGACAACCTTGTTAAGATTCCTCTGTTGGTTGTCTCTTACATTGACCAAACGATGTTTTGGAATTAGTAGTAATGTTCAAGAAACATCAATAACTTCATTGTCTTTATTTTATTAACATTGTAGGTTGCAGCTAAATCGGTGCCATTACTAGAAGCTATCCCTGAAATTCTAAAAGGAAAATGGGACCATGACAGGACTGAGTTCTCTTTACCACCTTTGATGACTCTTGTAAGCAACTTAAAATTTGCATGTTTGGCACTTGTATGTGCTCTTATGTCTTAAAGATATGGCTATGGGTACTTACTCCCTGCCCCACCTCCCTTCCCCTCCCCATTATCTCTTTTTTGGTTGACGGGGTGGCAGTGGTGGCATGTACCCAACTCCTAACTCTGAATTTATACTTTTTGTTTCTCTTCAAAACATTTTTTTAATAGAAACAAAAACACAGTTGTGTCATTTGTTAGATAGAGTCTTCTCCTTTTAACGTTCCTCCAGGTTATTCAGAATTTCAAGTTTTCTGTTCCATGAATAACTTTTTGTTTCTGCAATCCCTATTTTGGACTTATCGTTACCAAATGTGTCTTACAATGTCTAAGTTCTTACCTTTTGTGTTTAGATTGAGTTTTTATGTGAGTACTTGGTCTCTTCCTATGTGTGGAAAACCAGTGTACTGTTAGCTGCTTTAGATTATATGGTATTTATTAATGATTGACTAGCGTATATTTGATTATGACTGTCAAGTGAAGGTAAAAATTGATAAAACTGATGTCAGAGGTTTTAGTTCAGAAGAGTCAGTGTTGTTGTCTTGATTTAGGAAGATTATTTGTATGACCATGTAATATTTGGAGGCGAAGGCTTATCTATTATTAATATTTCTTTTTATGTTGTTTTATATCATTATACTTTTCTATGTGCAGCATATGTAAACCTTGAAATGCATTAGACGATAATGACCTTAGAGACTGAAGCATAATTCTTCTTCTGCAATAATACTCTTAAACTCAAAAAGGTTCTCAAACCTAATTTTGCAAATTGCAAGTTGCCAGTTTAACAACAGAAAACTTGGTGCTTTGTTTTTTTTTTTTTTTTTTTCAATATATTCTAAGTGAATAGTGCTGAAAATTTAGTTAGGTAGTTTTGAACTTTCAACGTAAAAGAAGTCCAAAGGTACAAGATTGAATTTTTTACATCCCCACCTGAATATTGAGAACAGTTATAGGGAGATTTCAGGGTCTTTTGGATACCCTGTTTTATTTGCTTCTTATTCAGTATTTACCTTTCATTTTAAATCCACCCATGGCTACTGGGAGCACAGTGATATTATCAATATTGGCAGAAGAATAGTAGAGGGTTTGTTAAATCTGAGTGTGTCCAGATTCTTTCACATATGAAGTCTCTTGGTTTCAAGGTTGATCTCTTTCTCTTTACAGTTACTAGGAGAACCTGGAACTGGTGGATCATCCACACCATCAATGGTTGGTGCTGTCAAAAAATGGCAAAAGTCCAACCCTCCGAAATCCTTGGACATGTGGAGAAGATTGTCAGAGGCAAATTCAGCATTGGAAACACAACTAAACTTGTTAAGCCAATTAGCAAAAGAACAATGGGATGCATATAAATCTGTGGTTGAAAGCTGCAGCATGCTCAGATCAGACAAGGTATTTCTTTGAGATCATTTATTGATGTTTATTTAATGAAACTACTTTGAAAATCATAATATTTAAACTTATTCAGCTGAAGTAAATTGATTGACAATTCTCACTGTTAGGCTCACATAACTTAAACATTGTGTCTCCCCATGGTATTCTTTGCAATGGATCAGACTTTCACACTCCTTTTTGTTGGTTTTTCTTAAGTAGTATATCTTTATTGATACACTAATTTTTTTATTTTTTTTTCTGTTTTGCCTGTTTTCTATACAAATCTTAGAAAACCGGAAATAGAATGAAAACAATATGACAATTTTGTAACTAAAAGTGAAAACAGAAAATGAGAATAGAAAATGTTTCCAGAAACCAAACAGGTCCTTATTGTTCCTTTTTGCATCTTTCATTATTGCCTGAGAATTGTGAACTTCATGGCTCATAGTAAATTCAAACCCTCATAATTATTGAATGGTAAAAAATTTTGTGATCCAACTTTGAAGGTCTGTTTAGTAGCACTTAAAAATGGAGGGTGAGCAATTTTGTTAATGAGATTGATATAATAACTATATTGGAAACAAATCCAAAAAATTTTCATCACCAATTTGTAGGACATACCAAACTGACTCTTTAAAAGGGAAGTGAGGGGATCATTTTTCTTTTGCACAGAGAAAAGGAGGACCAAGGCTTCTCATCCCTGAAATTAAATTTGATATTGTGATTATTGAGAAGCACAGTAGCAGGATAAACCTGTGATTCATGTAACTTGATATGAAGATTTGTATTCATTGCTGCCTGGGTTTTGACTTCAGGTTATAAACTTCACAAGTTCATTTGTGATATGATTTTCTTGAGACCTCTCTCTCTCTCTCTCTCTCTCTTTTTCTGTCAAGTTTTCTGATTTTTCATATATTGTGGCATTTCTACTTGTTTTTCTTTTTTCATGCTGATGTTTGAACTTTGACATTGAAATTGCATAATTAGTGGATAGAACAAGCTTCTGAACCTAACAAGGAAGCAGTCATTAAAGCCCTGCTAGGTGCAAAAGATGCCATGCAGGGGATTAGATATCATATGCGCCTGATGGGTGAGGCTGCAGGAGTTCCAGTAAGTTCATTTCACTAGTTGTACAGTTATCTGTTTGGATGATGTCAATTTTGCTTATAAAAATGTGTCTCAACTGTCTCGGTGGAATATACATTACCTTTATGAATTTCTTTTTGTTTGAAGTTTATTGATTTTGCTTCATCCATTAACACCTCTTGAGGTACTACATCTCTTATCTTCCTATGGAATAAGAAGACCATCGAGCTAAGTTTGGCAATTCACTTGCGAATTATATATGCCATCTCAATGATCCGTGGGGAAGGATTAAGGTTGGATTTAGTTTCATTGCATGGTGGTTAACCCACTTGCTATTGCTATCTGCATCTCATATAAAGAGGTAAATAGGGTTAGGGTCTTGGATTTAGTATCAGTATAATGTGCTTAGTAAAATAAAAAGACAGCGTGCATTGCCATTGCCATAATGCACTGTCAATCAAGAACTGAAACAAGTCCCTTATCAAGATTTCTAACCCCACCAAGTGTGCCTGATTACTCCTGTTGGCTTGGAAAGTACAATTTAGTACACATAAAGCTGATGCCAGGAGTTAAATTTGTTAATATAAAACCATCCATATATCTTCAACTAACAACTTAAGCTTTTGGGATTGTTGGCTCATGACATGCTATTAGAGTCTATATGATCAAGTGATCTAGAGTCAATGCACAAGTAGGTAGTTTTGCACTGTTCATACTTCAAGCCCAAAGATGAGCTAATGTAAAACCATTTATGTGCTTCATCCAACATAAACTTTTTGAATAGTTGATACATGACAACAATTTACTACCTAGTACTTATATACCATTGTAGGGACAAAATGTCTTTGATCTATTAGACTGTTCATGGTGTTCAGCTTTATAATCTATATTGAAGGGTAGTCAGAGGTGTGGTATTAGAAACTCATTTGCTTTTCTGATTCATTCATCATTTAAAAATTTGACAAGTTAGGAGTTCACTCAGTCTTGTAAGTTGCAATGTATGCAGATTGAACCAGAATCGCAAACACAACTTTTAGATGTTACAATGAACTGGGAAGGAGTTTTGTTGGCTGGAGTGCCAGGGGCAGGAGGATTTGATGCAGTCTTCGCTGTTACTTTGGGAGATTCGAGCAGCAATGTGACCAAAATATGGGGTTCACTTAATGTTCTTGCCTTGTTGGTTAAAGAAGATCCCTGTGGCGCTTGTTTAGAAAGTGCTGACCCACGAACCAATGAAATCACATCAGTTGTGTCTTCAATTCATATTGAATAAGTTGATTTCCATCAATTAAATATTGTAATTCACCACAAAATTATTCCGTAGAATGTGGCTTCACTAGGTTAGCTTTCTTTTCTCTTATGTTTTTCAATTTCGGGGGAAAATGGGTGGAGGATTGAAAATAAGCTTTATGTGTTTTTAGCTTTTTGTGAAAGTACCCTTCGATTGTTCTTGGGCTACTAAAAATGAGCAGTAGATTCTTTGAATCTTCTAGTTTCCTGTAGCCAGAAGAAAACGAATTGTATCATCAAAATTTCGGATTTGTTGCATATTCCTTGCTTATTCAGATGTAGGTACTTTTCTATAACTGGTCGAGAGAATATGTTAAATAACTTGGCTAAACCTTGTTCCTAAGTTTTTCTCCTCTCGTGTATATTTGGCTTACTTGTATTGCGTATGTAATAGCAACATCATTGGCCCGACACGAACCCGACCTCGAACACAATACAGCCCCGAATAACGACGGGAGGGAGGACCATTAACGGTCCTAAAAGGGTCATATTTGCAGATGAAATGAAAATAACAACTTTCTAAAAGCACATTTGCGGTAAATAAGTGGAAGTAGGGGTTTGAGATAACAAGTTTCTCCACGTATGGGTTTGTAAGAGCTTCTATCATGAAGGTATGAGCTACATAGGCACAATGACACAGTTCGAGTATGAGCAACATAAAAGAAAAATACATAATGGTACTTACTATCAACAATTTGACAATTTTCTTGCTTGACATTTCATAAGATATAGAGAAATAACCATTCACCATTGTGTGATAGCGCTATACAATTTAGTAAGTAACAGTGCTCATAAATATGCACACCCTAAACATCACGTAGGAAGTAGGAACTCATCAAAGAGAAAAAGGGAAAGATGGCCAACATTGCAAAGATGAGACCACCCATCCAAGTTCTAGAAGCTTGGAACTCTCAGAAAATTAACGATAAATGAGTAAAAAAAATCCTCACCAGGAATGCATTCTGATACTAAATTTCCATAATACTGAATATATAGGTACTTCTCTCATACTTCAGCTATCATTTGATTCGTATTTGTTGATTTAAGAAGACAGATGGTTGGTGCTTCTGCAAGTCCTCATCCCAGTCTTCTGGCAAGAGCTGGACTCCCTGTAGGAAATGGTCACAACCTTAATACAGATTATTTATCCATTCAGATTAGGATATTCATTGTCTACCCTAAAACTGCCACACTCTGCCAGAGCTTTTGCATTAAGCTCCCTACCATATTTCCAGACATAATTAAGACCCACAAGAAGCTCGGTGATTATTTCTTCCGCTTTTTCTTGGTTTGCAAAGTAAAGGGTCTGTACCAGCAGCACATTTGTCCGGGAAACAAAGCTCTGCTGCTCATAACTTCTCTCGAACTGCCATCTTATCATATTATGAGCAAGCGGTGCCAGCCATTCCAATATGCTTGACATTGCTTCAGTCCATTCTTCTGCTAGAGTCGGGTCATAGATTGATGATGAAGATGACATGGTCTTGGTATATGGCTTCAACTTGGCCTTGAGGGCAGCTCTCACGCATTTTGGTAACATGTTGTACAGGTCATCTCTTGCATCCAGACCAATCATGTGTGAAGAAGCTGCTAGCTTCTCAATCACAATGATAACATTTGCATAGTGCAGTGCTAAAGCAGCAGCTCCAAGGGTTTCAGGAGGAGGATTTAATAGCTTGCAGAGAGATTTGAAGACTGATTGAGTATGATGAACTGCTTTTCCAGGGCCAAAAGGGTTAGAATTAACATCTTTGGGATTCTGAATTCCATAATGAACACCATTTGCACTTGAGTGGCAGTCAGCGACTGAGGAACTGTCCCATGCCATACATCCTTTGAAAGGTCCAACTTGAGTCAGTCGACTGGGTCTTGTGTGAGTTTCCTTCCCTCTTATCGCGGAGGAGTGTCCGTAAAACTTCCAAATCCTACTCTTTTTATTTTTTCCATTAACCGGGACTGATTGATTCAAATTCCTTCCAAGAGGACCTGAGTAAAAATTGACACTTGTATACCTTCCTAAAATAGGACCTGACTTTGTGGATGAGTCACCAAGAGGACCCGAATGAGAAATGCTTGTTTTGTTTGTTCTAGCAATTGGACCTGAACTAGCAGTAATAGCATTAAGGGGTCCTGAAGAAAATCTGGGAACATTATTCCGTGACGGGTGGAATGAAGATTGCAATAATGTAGAAACTGATTGACTTCTATAAATGAAATCTGTATTCAGGACACTTGAATTATTGGTTCCACCAACATCTACCATCTCTTGAATTCCAAATACATGGTTAATCTTACAGAATATTGTGAATAAGGATCTTGCTAAAAGGTGTATTGTGTAATCATATGTCCTGTTCCACAGAGAAATATCCTGCAAGGTCTTCACCTCGTGCCTCTTCCATGCAACCTTCTTCTGATACTCCATTAACGTTACACCATCTGACTCACCATTAGCCTTCATTCTTGCAAAAGTTTGCTCAAGATCGGCAAGTATTTCCATCTCTTGATACAAACTCGCATTAGTTGATATAAACTTTTCCATCCTTTTAATCTTTTTATCCATCTTCTTGCAAGAGAATTCCCACCCATAAGGATCAACACCCAGAGTGATAAACTCACAAAAGGCATTCTCAAAACCTTTCAAAATTGGATCACTGCATTTCTTAGCAAGCCTGGCCACAGACTCAGCCACATGTGCCATATTCTCAAGTATCTCCATACAGATCAAACGTTCAATGAAATGATCATCATCTGAGACAAGCTTTCTTATGCCCACTGAATTTGTGATCTCCTCTCTCAATCTAGCAATCTGTTTATCACTCAAAGACTGCCATAAATTGACCAGCTTGGACATCAAGCTCGCTATTTCAAATGCTAATACTCCAATCACCACCTTCTCAGAATTAGCATCATGCTTCCGGGGAGCCTTCCACAGACTGCGAAACCATGATTCTGCAACCATGGCTTGTCTAGGAATGGAGAAAACCTATGCTCTTTAAGACAAATCCTTCACCATAGTTCTGTAATACTCAGCAAAAAAAATACAAAATGAGGTTGTTAAATATCTAATACACATTTCAGATAAATTTCAACCTTTATCAAATATTTTCAGATGCTTAGGTAAATATCTCAAAATAATTCTAAAGAAGCTATTAACCACTACTTGTTTGGGAGGAAACACAATAGTTTTTATCGTGTTACTACTCAATAAAAAAAAGAACCCAACATATCCATTGTCTTCTTTTTACCTGCTTTCTTTTACTATTCTGTTTCACGCCAAGAGAAGAGAAGGAACGAATGGGATTGAGCTTGCAGAAATTAACTGGTCTAGTGCATATTGGTCTTATCTTATTTCTGCCTGCTACATAGTATCATACACTTACAGTCATGCCAAGCTATTTCAAGTGTTTTAATATTAAAACTAGATTATATTATCTTCTTTTGCTTCACAAGTTTCAAGTACAAAAATATATAGCTTAGGAAACCAAAAGTAATTGGTTTCCTTTTTCAAACCAGTTTATCTTTCTTCCACCTCGTTACAAATGGTTCAAATTTATTCCGTATATAAGTAGGCAGTTGAAAAGAACGGATAGATAAGGCTTAGGTAAATATTCTTCATGTTTTACTTGCTTTGCCAAGGCATACAATTCTAACAGATGTATTAATTCCTTGCATCAAATCATCAACAGTAAACCAGCATGAAGCGGCTCTATTGCCTCTGAAAATTTTACATATATTCCAGCACAACCACAAATGATGTTTATATTCCCCCTTGTTGCTCTTTTTGGTGTTTGTCCCGGCTCTCCTAGTTTCTGATGGATAAAAATGCTTCATTAAGAAGCAACAAGGGAATACAAGTTTTCTTTTCAGGCAAATACTGTTGAAGAATATATACTGAAAAAAAAAAAGGGACACCTAGCTACATGGCATAAACCTAAATATGGATCTTATTCCCTGCCCATTCACTCATTAAATCAAGCATTAACTAAAATTTAAAGTTGAAAGGGACTACATTTTTCGGTGAAAACTGTTTAGTGTCAATTCACACAGCAATTAGAAAGAAAATTGGCACAAATCTAAAAATCCATAAACAAACCCAAATCTACCAACAAATCCAGATTCCAAAACCTTCATTTTTTTATTCTCCATAAATTTTTTTTTTTCAAATTCACATACTTTTGCCACAATGAACATACTTTACATCACTTGTTTGCTTATATGGGCCAAAAAGTATACCAATCAAAACTCAAATCTTAACACCACAAATTGACTGTAGCAAAAGTGAAGCACACAAGGACAAAATCAGTAGGGAAAAAATGAGCCTGATGAAGCACAGTGGAAGAGCATAGATAGACCCAGAAACTCACCGATCACAAAAAGAAGAAGCAACCCAAGAAACTGTGAGGTGGGAGCAACCTAGTAAAGGATGCTGAGGAAGAGAGAGAGAGAGAAAGAGACAGAGAAGGTGCAGTGTTAGGAAATAAGGTGCACATGGAATGGAAACAAAGCAAAAAATGAGATAGAGGGAGAAAGCAAGTAAAACCAATGACCCCCCAAATAAATATTTTATTTCAAATTTAAATACTCAATTAATATTTCACAACTCATTTAAAATATACTATAACATTTCTCCTTCATTTTTGTCAATTTTCCTTGAAGTTCAATTTTGTGCACTTTTAGTTTGCGGTTATGTTGATAATAAAAAAGATTGTAATATGTTTTACTAATTTGTAAAATATGAATAAAAATTCAGTTCAGTATAAATAATGAAATACTAGAGTACTTAAAATAAATTAATAGTGACTTGTGTGTGATTTTATTATTAAATAGTGAATTTGAATCATAATAATTATTGGTGGTATAATTATTTATTATATTAAGTGAATATAAGATTACATGTTATTATAGATTATAGATAATTTGAAAACTTTTCTTTTTGGTTTAAAGAAAATGGTTATATATCACATAATGATATATTTTTTTTATATCAGAATAATTCAAATATTAAGAATAATTTGATGACACTTAATGATAAACTATCATGTAATAAATAATTGATATAATTATTCTTTTGAAATTAATTATGTTTCAATATTCTTTCAAAAACCAAACCGAACCGAGAGTTCACTCTAAGTTTAATCTTTGAATATCTTTTGTCCATTAATCTTCTGCCTCTAATTTGAACTTTGGTTTGAAAAATAAAATTCCTAGAGTCACTGTAATGTTAAATTTGTTGAGAGGTTGGGAAAATTTAAATAAAAATATAAACTCGTTAAGATCAAAATTAAAAAGTCTACTGGAATACTGAGTGGCTGCTAAAATTTTCTTTATGACAAATCATTATTGTGTGAATTTTCATTTCTTGCTTTGAACATACTTTTTAAATAATTAAGAAAAATCATTTAATATAGAAAAAAAAAAAAAGTTCAGTCCATGAGCTTGTACCATACTTGGTAGTTGTAGTTTCTAAAATTATAATGTGATAATGATGTTTGAGGATTGGTTCTAACTAGTTACTTACCAGTTTTCTTTACCTGCTGCACCTTTGTCATTAAAAAAATCAAAAAAACTTGTATGCCATATTGCCATCTATTTTTCAATATTTGTTTTTTTTTATATTTAAAAAGAAAATTTAGCTGAAAGATCTTACTCTATTTAAGGCCACATTTAAGAGAGTGTCACAATGCATATGACAAAAAATTGAAGCATTTCAATTTGGCTCCTCAACACACGCCAGTCACAATCATTAATGGAAACTACGCGGAATTGCCTTCTTTTACCAAAATGCCCCTTCTTCATTTGCTCCAAATTCCTGACCCATCCAAAAAAGCTGTAGTGCCTATAGACCAACAGTGATAATCTTTTTGAGTTTTTCTTTCTTTTTTGCAAACTCTTTTTTGAGTCTTTGACTAATCAATTGAGTAACTTTTATATACTTTTTTAGAGGAGATTTATAGCAGATTTTATAAGAGAAAGAAAAGTAAGAAATGAAAAGATTAGAGCCAAACTCAAAACTCAAATTATGTTAACTACTTGAACTAACTTGAAAGAATAAATTTTTTTATTAATGTATTATAAGTATTGTGTAATGATATAAATTAGCTATATTAAAAATATTAATTTGATTCAGTATTTTTAGTCATTCTCCAGTTATAGTAAGGTTATTCTAATAACACCACAAATAATCTTAACAAGAACACTTTTGATAAAAACATAAGTAATTTCAACTAAATTTTTGTTTGAACTAAGTTATAAATTAATAATAATGATGGAATAAATAGGTTTTCTTGAACTTATTCCATCAGTTAGTAAAGCTTAAGAACCTAATAGGAGTGTGTATCAGGTTTAGACAAATTTGGGCAAAAAAGCCTAAAACTGAAACAAACTGAGAATACTAAGTTAGATCATTTTTTACTGACCACATGGCTCTTTAGTTTTACCAAGTGGTGGTTTAGTGCAGGTGCCGAGTAACCAGAGTCGATTAGTTGAGTTTCAAGGAGATGGGTGAAGGGATGAAGTGATGCAATGATAGTTTAAGAAGATTGGTAATAGAATATTTTTTGTAACATCTTTTTCACTTGCTAGAGCTCTCCTAGAAGATCACCAACAAACTACTTCTTTGTGTTTAGGCTACTCAGGTCATCAAGTTAGAACATCAAAATAGATATACATACTAAAAATAAAAAAGATTAATTTCTTGTATCAGAAAAATAATATAGTAAATTAAGGAGGTGAATGGATTATTTTATTTTAATATTAATTTTTTATAACTTTTTTGCATTATTTCTTTAAAAATAATTATTTTTGAGCATGCTATTACCTTTAAAAATAATGTTTTAAACACAATAAACAATATTTCTTTAACCATTTTAATATGTCTTGCCACATCTTGGTCGTTATCTCATATAGATTTTTTATTTTTTTTGGTTTTCAAATAATTTTTCATGAAGACAGTGTTAAAGGCAGGATATCTTTGAAATAAACTATTAAAATTAATGGTAAAGAGAGATTGGATATTTTATATAAATTTATTGGCTTAATTCTGCAGTCATCGTGTGTATATATATATAAAGTCAGTTCATAATGTTTTTAATACGCACAAATCATAATCAATTTTATATTTACGGCAGTTAAATTTGTTTCACTCATTAGTTGTTTATTGAATAAGATAATATAATATTATATGATGCAATTTAGTTTTCATTTTTTTATGGATGCTTGTAATGATTATCCTACAGCTGTTTGATGACAATGCTTGATTAGCTTTGACTAACTAAGTGGAGTATTTAACACATTTTTCTTGGCATTTGCTTTTGGAATTTCCAGACAACCATGCAATGGCGCTATAGAAAAAGAATAAAATACATAATTGAACAATTTTCATCATATAAATATAAGATATTAATCAAACTCTACCTAAACGAAGTTGATCAAGACTCAAATTAAGATGCTGGATTATGTAATAATATATTAGCGAGATTTTTCATAAAAAGATGTTAATGAAACTTAAGTTTTGAATTTATAAAAATATAACAAAAAAAATTAATATTCTAAACTTTTTGTAATAATTTATTATTTATTATGTAAGACATATGGCAAAAATAAAAAATGACACGTCAACTTAATATCACTAGAATTGGCACTTGATAGAAATTTAAAAACTGGATATTATCTTTTTACACATCTACATTAAAGTAAAGCTAAATTAATAACAAGGATATAGAAATTCTGTTTATTATTACAGTGAAGTAAAATAATTTGAGACCTTACCCTTTTTTTCAATATTACACGTGTCCATAAAAAATCTGATATAATTACGTAAAATTGTTTTAATTATAAAATAACTAAATTCTAGTTTGGCATCTTATCTTATAGCATAATAAAACAGAATAACAGTAAGGTCTTTTTCCCTATAAGTGAGATTATTACGATAGAAAAACGAAACTTAACTATATTATATTATAAGAATTTTTACACAAGTCTTCCAAAACACATTCCATTAATGTTCTAATAATAAAATAAAGTCGACTTTATCCCGTTATCAAAACCACCAAAATTATATATTATAAAAACATCTTTAATAAATTTTTAATAGATAAATCAAATTAGCATCGCTTTATATATATCACATATGTGTAAATGAAATTTTTTAGAAATTAAAAATGGTAATTTTTTTATTTAAAAAATAAATATTCTTCCACAAGGATACAATTCTGCTCAAGCTAAAAACATTTATAACATTGTAAATCTAATTCTTTTAATAATTTTTTTTTTCACACACGAAGTTTAAATCTAAAACTTATTTTAAAATAAATCAGTCCTGAACTAACCTATGTTAATAAAAAGGGTGAATTGAAAGTGCAAATGGCTAATATTTTTCCTTTGTTGTTTATTGTGTACTAAATTATTTGTGAGAATCTATATATGCATGTTCAGAAAAGTTGATTTAAGGATATTCTTTTACTTACAATTTCTTTAAATTTTTTTAAAAAGATTATTTTTCATAATTTAAATTAAACCCAACACTTCTATTTTGCTTCATAACTTTTAAGCGAAAACCAAACACAATATTAAGTTGCAATTGGAGGCAACGGTTCTGCTCTCACAAAATCCAAACCACAAAAGTAATAGTAATTCATTTCTTATTGAAGAAACTAGGGAAAAAAAAAATCCAAGACTAGTAAGATTGACTCATTGTTATCCCAATTCCGAAGTAAGCGGAATTAATTCAAACTAGTTCACTATATTTTAATTCTACTGTTTGGGATACCATAGGGTAGAAGACCCAGAGAAAAGGTAATAAGTATAATATGCAAATACAGGATAAACTAATCCGTTCACATTGACTACATGCCAAAGGAAACACCTAACCTAACCTTTACCATTAAAAAAAGTTAACAGCTATTTGCATTCTGTTTTCAGCTGCAATTTGTCAATTTAAAATATTAACTGCATTAGACACAACAAAATTAACTAAATATGTAGGTTCAGTAAAACAGTCAAAGTGCCTCTGGAAAACGTAAATCTGCAGGGCCAGGGCCCAATATCCCTTTTTGTTCGCTTATCTTGCCCAGCCCAAGAGCAGGTTCTATATGTCCATTCATTATTTCATCATCTCGCCAACTGGTTCCCTGCTAGAAGAATACAATGAAAAGTGAATACAAAAGGACTGTGAACGCCTAACACAAAAAATTAAACAATATGGGAGCGAAATAATATTTTTTAATTATAAAACTATAGAAAAGAATAATATGACAAAGCAAAAGCCTCGAGGTAGACGCATTTTCACGCAATTAGTACTATATAATAGAAATCACAACCATGAAAATAAGAAGCAATTGGAATTGTCGGCCGGAAAAAACGAAGTTGTTAGATTCGTTTGTTTAAAGAAAGTACGTTCTGACTATATATGAAAGTGTAAGGTAGCAAGCAAAAGATTACCACTTTGATTTGACTGTACCAAGAATGGCTTTTGTTTTGGAGTATCAAATGAACCACTTTCAAAAGAAATTTCCCAATATAATTTACTTTAGGTTTTATTTTGCCAAAATTTATCACTTTTGGTTAGGGACCCTTTTACTCTACTAATGCTCGTCCTTATATTTGAAGTAAACAAAATAGTGCGACATGTGAATGACTGAAAAGACTTTTTATTTTATTTGTATTATTATTAACTTGACTTTATTATAATTTTGGTTCATCAATTGTAGCTAAAATTTTCATCTCAATAATTGTAGTCAAAATTTTTTTTCTTAAAATTATCAATTCCTCAATTTCTTTTCTCAAATCTCCATGAATTATATCAATTAAACTATTTTAAACCATGTTTCACTTCAAACATACCTATCAAAACATCATATTTTTAATCATAGATTAAAAAAATTTCCAATTTCTTCCTGTTCAAAATCCTAACATGGTATTTTACAGAATGATTTATATTTTATGAAATTTTTAACTTTTAAACCTTTCAAATAGTTTTCCACCACAAATTTGTAATAAACACTCAATTACTCAGCAAAAAAGAATTTAAAAATTGTGTAGAAGAAAATTGACAACAGAACTTGGTTGTAACAAGACTGATAAAAATTTATTGAAAAATAAAACATTTAATCTTACCAATATATTTCCACTGTAAACTTTAACCAAAAAAAAAACTATTTATTAATTGTTTAACCTTTGTTGAGGCAAGGGATAAACACTCTTGAAAATAACATTGGGGAAACTAGATTAAAAAAGAAAAAGAAAGTAATTAAGCTCTTTAGTTAATGTTAAAATTTTAATTGTTTTTATTTTCTAAAACTGATTTTCCTGCACATATCGTAAAAAGTAAGCATAACTCAATCTATGAAAAAAAAATTTTGGTAAGAATGAAAATTCAATTTCGTCAACAGACGTCCGACAGTCAGTATTCAACTGGAGCAAGATTTCTTTTTCTACGTCATTGTAAGGAAGGATCTCACTCCTCAATTTATAAATATTTCTAGAGCATGGTAGACAGTAGCAAGCTATCTTAAAAAAAAAAATAAATAAATAAAATTTTAGGGGTCAACATGGTGGACGACAGTGTCTTGTAAGAGAGTATTAAACGAGCAAGTCATAAGACTCGTAAGTAAAAAGAATTAAAACGAAAAATGGCACGTGGCACATTCTAGGAAATAAAATCAAAATCGATCAAAGCAGAAAATTTCTTTCAAAAGCGGTAAATCAAGGTAAAATAGCCTATAATAACAATTAATTACCTCATCATGATTATAACTAGCCTCTTGCAATAATGGAGTCGCAATTGGGGGTGCGATTTCTGGGTCAGGTTTTTGAAATATAAATGTGCTATAGAGACCTGTATTGCGGTGGAAAATACAATATCTGAGTATATCCCCATAAATAATAGGTAAAAGGGAAACCAAGAAACTTATAAGCAATAACATGGTAAAAGAAAGAATCATTAGTGCACCACCTAGCGCATCATATGATCGAGGAATAAGTCTTCCCCTGGGATCCAATAGGTTTGGAACATAGTGCGTTAGAAGCCCTGCTAACTGTGCTCTTTCAGCAACAACCACAAAATGTAAATTCAGTACGTGGTCTTGCATACTCCATAACTGCTAATAACACACATTATATTTGAAGGATATGGAAGGATTTGTCCCCTCCAGAGAATGTAAAACTAACCTGTTGTCATCATAAAACTCTGTTAAGTTTTGAATCTCAACATACTCAAGCCCAGCTTCCCTGGCCAACCTGAGTTTTACGAAGCAGAAGAAATTTGAGATTTTTCTGAAAGTCAAATTTGAAGATATGAACCAAAAAAGTAAAAGCAGTTACAAGGCCATTCTCATTCCTTCAAAGTTTTAATTTTACATTCTCCATGAAACAAAGTCAATTTCAGCATGTTTGGAATTCCTTTATGAGTGAAGTCTAAATCTTAAAATTTGGCAATCAAGCTTTCCCTTTTAAAGCATATTAGCTTGGCAAAATCAGAGAGCAGAATCAACATGGCACATTGGCACCAACCAACACAACAACTCACAGTCATCAATCTTGGGTTAAAAATATTAAAACCTGATGAAACTTGGAAAATGAACCAAGCATTGAGTTTCAGCAGAGACATCACTAGAAAATTTCAGCTGGTATTTCTTTCCAAATAATGGAAACCTGGAAATGTTAAACAGATTCAAATGAATGACACTACAAATTTAACCAAAATAACCAGAACAGAACACAAAGAATGAGCAACAATCAGTTGATCAATTATGGAGATGTGTACTTTTCTTCTTCAACTTCAAAAGAAATCATGTAATTCTCTGTCCGAATGCAGTTGGGAACAATGTTTGGCTTCATGCTGCTGCTTTTGTTGTGATAGGCTTCAACATTCCTCTGGTACTTGGCCCTACATGGTTACAATGTTAACTTTGTCCAGTATATTTTTGTATATAGATCTCGTGCAGACTTCATATGAATGTTCAGAAAAACAGTAATGAAGACAAACAGCTGATTGAGTCCAAGTTCAAAAGTAATGAGATGGATGAAAACCCCTGACAGAAAATAAATAGAAACAATTGCTAATAGAAGTACAAACTACATTTTCTAACCAAAATAAGGTAATTCATTACAACATTCTGGACTTCTTATGTAGATTTTGATGGGATCCAAACCCGCAATGAGGGCCTCTTGGTTGCAAGTCCAATGCAGCCCACTGTTTTGCAGGTTTATTCTTGTAAGAAGAAAACCAATAATCAGTAACAAGGGCTAAAAGGGCTTATTAGGAGTAGAGGAGATAAGGATTAGATTAGTTTAGCTACTCTGTATTTAAGCAGTCAGTTTTGGTTATTAGGGCATGGCTTTGGGAATAAGAGAAGAGAGAATCATTCTCTGGGAGGAGCTGCCGCTCTGGGAGGGATTCTTGTAATCCTAGTTTTTCAAATAATTAATAAAAGTTCTTTTTCTTCTTTAATTCTTCCTAAATTCCATCTCTGAACTCTAACAGATTTCATCAGAAACCACTTGGCCATTCTTTTCCTTTTCTATTGGACAGAAAGGGAATAAGGCATCTCATTATAAATATCAATGCACAATATAACGAGGAAATAAATAACAGAGAGAAAGAAGATTGAGAAATTTGGGGCATGGTTGTAAAAAACCAAATAGATCACATCTAGGAAATATGTAATAGAAATTTCACTAATAGAATTAGGTATTCAAATACAGCATCTACTCCCACCCAATGGAAAATCAAGCCAAACAGTGTTTAATCGCAACCATTACTATTTGGAGTTTAAGAGATGAAACTGAAAAAGGACAATGTACATGTATATCATTTACTTGCAGTAACATCAGAGGACAGACAAATCAGGAAAGTACATAGGTTTTTTTAACTGAAGCAATACTACATAGAGTCAATATCAAATGGTCCAGTTAAGTTTTGGACCACCTGTTATCCACCTTATTTTGCCAGCACCCTTGAGTTATTCAGTTTATTATTTTCTGTTTTTAAGTTTTACATAATAGGTATTATTTAAACTAAAATTATAATGTGCTCCTCCCACTAAATTTTCCCAATTAGAGAATCCCTAAACCCAAGTAAGTCCATGAAAGTGCAGGCAAGCTAAAGTGTGATTTGTGCATGCTCATTTTCAGCATATCCTGTATTCAACTTCAAAGCTCATGTTCATATTTGCCACTTTCTCAAACACCCCAACACAAATCCAGAATCATAATCTGATTTTTTCTTCCAAAACACCTCAACAACAATCTACGCAACAGTTTACGTAAGATGTCCCCTTTAGATCTATGCAATAGATACTAATATTTTCTTCATATGATAGCAACCTCAATGATAGGATGAAATTCCTATCAGAGATAATTATGAGTTTATTGAACTGAAATTCAAATGCAAATACAGAAGGATAAGAGCATCAGTCCCAACAATGGAGAGAATTCTCCAAGCCCAGCCTAAGCTTAAGGAAAAACTGTATACATGCCTTCCAACCTAAAACGAACCGTTTCATTAAAGGTTAAAAAAACAAAAAAGGTTGCGTGAATTAAAAAGGGGTGGGCAGTTGTCGCTCTCTATTTGGTCCTTGGCAAGTCCTCTCATTTGTCCATGTGAGTATTCATTCTTTGCTTTAACTCATTCTTTTAAGATTTTGAAAAAAACCCTTGTAACCCATTTATTTTTCCCTTTGACATAGATAACTTTGGATGAATTTTTAAAGTTAGAAATACTGTTCTTAGGACAAAAGGGTGGTACCCATTGGAGAGAAAATTTTATGTTGGGTTCCTAAATTATGCTTACAACTCAAATGCATAAGAATGCTGGGTCTTGGCAAGTAATCATTCTTAAGATATGTGTATTTTAGAACTCTTAGTATAGATCTAAAGATTTTATCATTTAAGTTAATTCTGAATCCCTGTTAAATATTGTTACTATTCGAAATTGTTGGCTTGCAGTTCTGAAGTAATGCTATGAAGTGAGTTAATTAGTCTACATTATTTGTGAGTAGATAATAATCATAGTGATTTATTTTAATTATTATTCAAATTAGTCATTATGTTATTATTACTATAAAATTATTAACTTGAGGGAAACAAGTTTTAAATTTATTTCTTGATCATATGAAAATTTACAAGATGTATATTTTGTTTAATTATATGAATTTATTTACTCACAAATAATGTCCACCCCCTAATGCATGGTTTAGGGTTTAGAATTGCAAGCCAGGAGGTGTAGAAGTTAACTAGTTTTACAAGTGACTCAGGTTGGGGGTTAGCATTGTCAAGCATTGAGAGCAAGTGTTTGAAGTGGACAACTTCACAAAAGACTAACGGTGCTCAACAACATTGGAGGTGATGCTGTGACAGGACTTGCCAACATGGATGGATGGGGGTTGGATGTAGAGCAGAACTCTGGTTGATGTTGTGTAACTAGATGTCACCAGGGTCGAAGATCTTTTTGAAATCTTCCACATAATGAATTAAGATTGTAATTTTCATAAAATATGAATGCTTAATCTATTATACCACCTATATGTAAAAGATTTGATCCATCTATTCAAATATTGTTATATCTAATGGCTAAAATGAATTAGACCATCAGTAACACATCCTTGGCAGACCACCTTATGCAATTCCTATTGCTTAATTCCTTCAAAATGGTTCATTCAACCTAGAGTGTACAGTGACACTTTGTTCCAAACAAGTGGTATCAAATGAGTAAACCTTTAATCAAATCAACGAAAATAATACAGACACCAAGTCATATGAATATTTTTTTTACCAATAGACCAAATATAAAAAAGAATACAAAAGAGAGAGATGGAGAGAGAGCATGCAACTGAAACCAAGAATAATATCCCTCTGACAACTTTCATACCATATGGTAGAGGAGTCAGGAGTAATACCAAGAAAATAACCCCCTGGTTTCAGCAGCAATGACACATTATGTAGAAGTCTCCGGGCTTTCTCTTCAGTCTCAAAACACAACTGCAATACAGATGTTAATCAGAAAAGAACCAGCAGGTAAACCAGAGAGGACTAATTCTAAAACAAAATAAAAGTGAGTTGCAAGAGATAATGACTGCATTGACTGCAAGCATCACAAGCATTATATTTCAAAAGGACAAAGGATTCTATCTTGGTTTACTTTATCCTTCTTTCCAAGAAGATTTTATCATAAAAAAAATAGAAATAAAGTGTTAGACAATATGATATTCTCAATAACAGGCCAAATAGAAACTATAACTCCATGTATATAGCCAGTAAATAAATAAAATGCTTCTAATCATCATTGCAAAGTGAATGCCAGACCTGCAAATGCTGCAAACAGCAGACAACATCTGCCATGTTGGTCTTCTCCTCCAAAGGCACTTCTATATTCTCCTATCAAAAAACATGAAATTGTAAAATTATAGTAATAATAAATATTGTAGTTCAGTTTACTTCAACTAAAGGCGGTCACAGACAGGCACTACGGGGCTTAAGGCAAAGTGCCAGCCTCGTAGCAGAAAGGTGATAACATAAGAACATAAAAACATCGTTCACATTGAATTTGTCATATAAATTAGCCTCTCAACCATAACATTTATAGTCAAATTTAAAACATACATTCAACTACCAAACTCTCAATATTTTCCGTGCAATTACGGTATCGTAGATTGAAAAGAAGAAAAATCTCACCGTGCAAGGGTCAACATCAAAGAACTCGGCGGTGTAGGATTTCCTGTGGCTTTCCCAAGCTTCTCGCATTTGGTCTACTCCAGAAGAAGATGCGTCTGCAGCAAGAAGAACAAGATTGGATGGTTGATTCGAAATTGGAGAATGAGAATAAGAAGGAAAGCGAGGGAGGGAATACCAATTCCAATGTAGTGACCAATTTGGGCGTCGAGCCATTTATCAGCGTCGGCAACTCCACAATACAAGTCGCAGACGGTGGCGTAGGGGTGAGCGAAGATGTTGACGAGAGCCATTTTGGCACAATCATAGAGGCGGTGGTGAGTCGACTCGCTCCGAGATTGACTCATTCTTCATCACTCACCAGCACAATCTTCCTCTTCCTCTCCCCACAATTACTCTGACACTCAAAACTGGTCGGCTCTCTTAATTGCATTTGTATTCTCACGCTTTTAACTTAGCTAAAATTGTCTTTTTATATTAAATCTTCTTAATATTTTAATTATTTAAATTAATTTTTTATTCTAAAATCTCATATAATGATTAATATAAATATGTTATATTTTTAATTTATATAAATTAAAAAAATATGTAAACTATTTAAATAAAAAATAAATAACATGTTAAATATAATATTTTTATTTAAATGTTTTATATTTTTTTTTTAAATTTATATAATTTAATAATATGTCATATTTTTATTATATTTAAATGATAAAGTACAAAATTAAAATTACAATATATTTTACCATAAATAATTCGAAATAAATAATATCAATACAAATATAATATTATGATATACAAAATAATATTTATCAAATTTTGAAGTTTCATTATTAATACATGATTATTTAAAAAAAAAAAAAAAACACAGAAGATATTGGGTCCAATTGTGACAACTCAAATCTATCTTCAAAATATATTGAGCTTTTAAAACTCAAACATGTTAAAATTGACTTTGGACTAAGCTGAAGTTGTGGGATGAGCTAGGTCATTAAGACTCCTTATTTCTAAGGAGTCGTGGAGTTTTTCTCTCTTCAGTGCTAAGCTATTTGTAGATTCTTCGACATTGACGAGGAATGCTAATAATTTTTTATTATTGATCCTTTTTGTGGCCCTTTTAATAATTCTCAATACACCTTACATTTAGTTAGATACTTTTCGTCATTCAAATAATATTTCATGAAAATCATACTCGTTTTTAAAAATAATTGTTTAGACTTAAAATTGTCTCTTCATATTTGTCTTTAAGTTGTTTTAATATGAGAATGTGAAGTATTATTCAAACTCCTCTTAAAAAGAAAAACTAATGCTAAGTTTGTCATTATTCTTTATTTGTCAAAAAATAATATTTTTTTTTTACCTTAAATATTAAATTTCGTCTTAACCTGATAAGACATTTTGATCCATTAATTGATTTTTTAAAAATATTTTTATCTTAATTTTGACCAACATTTTTCTTTCTCTTGCATAGAGAAATAATTTCAAGATATTATTTAAGTTTAGATAAACATCACACTTTCAATAAAAATTTCTTTAGTTGTGTCACTTAACATTCATAGGAATGGGTCTAGTAAAATTTGATTGAGTCCAATCTATCCAATTCAAAGAAAATTTGAGTATAAAAAAATATTGAACACCTTCGCCTATGTTGGATACAAGGTAATTAAGGTCTTGGGTTTAGTGGATTTGTGGGTTTATATATAAGTTGATAACTTGATATATATACATCACAGCTTCACAAAATTGTGATAGGAGGAATTAAAGGACCGATTTATTATTATTTTTCAATGAAGAAAGCAAAACAAATATAAAAAATGTAAGAAAGAACAAAACTACAATGTAGCCCAAGTGATAAAATATTTTTGCAAATAATCGCTCAACACATCCAATGAAAAATAAAATCATATATGTTCAAGTTGATATTGACATGATCCCTTTTGGCAAGCAAAAATGTAATGCTATTAGCTTCTGGACAACAGTAATGCGAAGAACTATTTCAGCTCCAATTAATGAGATTAGAAATTTTCTGCAAGTGACTGTGTATGCTAGAGTTGTGCACATTGATGACTCTTGCAAATTACATTTTTATAGTCCATCTGGGAAGCATGGTTAAGCTCCATTTCAATAGCCAAAAGTTTTTCCAACAGGGCATCCCCAAGACCCTTATTAAAAGAGAAACCTAATATTTATATACTTGTATTATCACGAATAAGATCACTAACATCCATCTAGCTACTATCTACGTGAACTTAGATAAAGTTAGGGGGTGGAAGAGTCTAGAAACCTAATATTCAAATCCTTTAAAATATTTTTATTCAAAACCACCGAACCGAAGTCCCTGAGTTCGGAAATGGAGGAACGAGAAATGCGGCCCCACCAAGAAAGCTTAGTTGAAGCTGCGCTCCGAGTTCTGAACACTGCCGACCCGTTCAAGAAGGCGCGAGTCGGCGACTCGGTGGCTTCGCGGTGGCTGAATGGCGCCATCCCTGAACCCTACCACTCTTCACGTGACCTAACGGTTCCTGATCGTCCCGCAAGGCTCTCCACTGTCTGCATTCTCTTCTCACTCTTCGATCCACAATGGTGTTCAACGAAATGCCTCATTTTCACTGACATGAATGAATTGAATGTGTTGTTGGCAGGTGAAGTTAGTGGCGCCAAGTCTTATGCCGAAGCTGGGGAAAGCGGGCAGCTTGCAGAGCAGAATCGCCATTGTTCACAGCCTCACTCACACTGAAAGCTGGGCAATTGACTTGTCTTGGGTATTCTTTTTTTTTTTTTTCTTCACTCTCACCTTTTATTTTTGAGTTTTTTGTTTTTTGTCTCTGAATGATGTAAAAATATAAATATTTACATGTTATAGTATTTAGTTTATGTGATGTATATAATGCAATGTGAAAGATCATCACGTTGATATGAAGAACAATATTGGAATTAATAGAACTGTAGGATAATTTCGGGATTGCTAATTTTAGCCTTTAACATCCCTTGCCTAAAAATGACTTCATTGAACATTTTAGAGTTCGGTTCGGTCTCCCTGTTTCTACTTGTCACAAAATAATAAAAAAGGGATTTGATCATTTTCATATCCCTTTAGGATTTTAGTTTTGCTCCGTGATTGAGCTGTGAGACTCGATAGAAATCTTCTTTGATGGCAAAAGCATTTAGGGGTTGTTTGAGAAGAGAGATTTTGTAGGGAAGGGACGGGCAGGACAAATTTTTTATTTTAAATTAATATTTTATCAAAATAAAAGATATAAATTAATATATTAACATAAACTTGATGTATTATCACCATAAATGATTTATGATTATTTTAATTTAAAACTAAAAAATATGAACTTTCTTGCTTCTCCTCAAAAAACGCTTTCCCAAACATACTCTTAGCAAATCAAGTGTTTAGTGAATTTAACTTTTGCACCCTGGATTCCCCTAAAATTTGAGTAAGATGCACTTCTAGATCTCAGTTTTAGTATCACACTAAGCACTGTTGAGTATAGAACTAAACTTTATTTGGCCCTCCTTGGGGTGCGTTTGTTATTGTTTGGAGGACATTTAGTTTTTTTCATATGGTTCATATGTTGCCACAAGCATTTATCGGTAAATATTTGTGCATAATACATTATTGCAGGATATAATTGCACGATTTGGTAAGCAAGAAGCAATGCCTAGAGAGTTCTTTACGGATTTTGTGAAGGTAGCACAGGATGAAGGGCGGCACTTCACACTGCTTGCTGCACGGCTTGAGGAGCTTGGTTCTTATTATGGAGCATTACCAGCTCATGATGGTCTTTGGGATTCTGCCACTGCTACTTCCCAGGATTTACTATCACGATTAGCAGTTGAACATTGTGTCCACGAGGTGTGTCTTACTCTGAGCTTTTCTACCATTCTCATTTGTGGTTATTTATGATTTTAGTTTATGTTTATGTACTTATAAGACTTTTTGTGGAAATTAAGACTGAATCAAGAGGGTTGCTTATTAATGCTGGATTCAGGGATGCGTTCTCTTTCTTTTTCTTTTTTTAATGTGGGGGAGGGGGAGGGGGAGGGGGAGGGGGGGGGGTGGTGGAAATACTTGGAATATTTTTTCCCCTTTCACAAGCTCTGATTTTTTTTTTTTTTAATTTTAAATGATAGTGTGCCAATTAGTGTTTTTTTCTTAATGCTTGAAGAGAGATGTGAGTTTCCCTAGTCCCGTGGACTTTAACTTACCAGTATTGTTGAAATGCTTTTCTTGTGGAGAACTGAAGAGCAAAGATTTCCAATCCAAGTGGCAATTGAATGTTCTATGGGAATAGCGCCGAAGTAATTTTCATGAAGATTTATTTCTGTTTTTGATGCTTTGAGACTACAAACATCATATATTTATTTATTTATTTTTCTATCTGTATGTTTGTTGGATGTTTAGCTTGAATTTGTTACTACTTTGTGGTGGGATGGCATTTGTCCTGCGGCTGCAATAGTTAGAGCATAAGCTTTAAAAGGAGGGAGAGTAAGGTCTTGTGGAACTGCTGCAACTGCATCATATGGATTGCTTTAGTGTTTTAACTTTAGAAGGCGGTGCCAAAACACTGGAAATTTTGATTTAGGAAGTCTTGTCTTTGGCTTTCTTATTTTAATGTGTTATTCATGTTTTTTTTTCTACTTCCCACACTAATGATGTAATGCGAAGGCAATTTATCCTTTGTTTATGCATTTCTGTTCGGACCTCTCTTATATTAAAACTAAAGAAAAACTCAGGAGAAATCAAATGAAGATAAATAATTGCTTTTTCTCCCTTTCTCTAGCTCATGAACATGATTCTACATCACAAAAAATCATATTGATTGCTTCTAACATGTACCCCCTGGTTGAGTATGAGCATAGGCCAGAGGACTTGATGTGCTACCTACAACAATCTTACGTTTCCGCAATGGTGGTGACGACGCTACAGCAGATTTACTAGAAAGTGTAGTTTACCCAGAAGAAATAACACATTGTACTGCTGGAGTGAAGTGGTTCAAGTATCTAAGCCAGAGGTCTAGAAATCCAGCCTCCTCGGATAAAAAAGAGCAAGAAGTTTGTGCAGCAGAAAGTGGAAGTAGAGCAGAGGAGAACGAAGTGATACCAAAGTTTCATGCAATAGTGAGGGCATATTTCAGAGGACCTTTAAAACCACCTTTTAATGAGGCTGCTAGAAAAGCAGCCGGATTTGGTCCCGAGTGGTATGAACCGCTTGCTGTTAGAGAGGCCAATACCCAATAACTAAAATATTTTCTTGATTTAATTAGAAGTTTCTTGCTTCGTACTTTTTGGACAGCTCTAACATCGAGTATCAATTTTGATCCTTTTTATATTTATTTTCCTTTTTTTTCAAAAGACCAATGTTGTTTTAAGTCGGCCGTAGTAATAACGAAAAAGGTAAAGATCAGAACAAGTTCGATGAATTCTAAAGAATACATTTATCTATTTTAGCCATTTAAAGATACAAGCTCTGTTACACTTTTCCTTTTTGAGAATATTGGTAGTTAATTAGAAACTTATCATAATAAGCAACATCAGAATGGTTCTTTCATGTACGGTTCCGGAGATTTGATAATAACAAATCGATTGATGTCAATTTTTGTAATTGAAAAAATTAGTTCACTTTAGCTTTATGTGATTGAAGGTTTCAGTCAATAATTATTTTTTCTTTTTGTAATTGAGGCATTTATTTGGTTCAATATTTCAAAAGATTGCATTGATATTGTTCCGTGTAATTAATTAATTAATTAATTAATTAATTAATTCGTTATTAATTAGTTTTTGAATTCGTGGATAAGAATGTGTTGTTACTTTTAAACAAGATCAGTACCTATAAATTGTTTAGTTTTTCATTCAAATTTCTAAAATCACGAATTGAAATTACTAAAACGAAAGCCTAGGACACGCATATGAATTCAAGATATTTATATGCAATTGTACTCGAGTATTGGACCATCTATATAATCTATTGACTATAACATGCAAATAAACTGTTTTTATATTTTAAAATTTTATATCGTCTAATCCAGCGGCAACACCACATTATACTTATCCCATAGCACATAAACTAAAGAAAGAAAAAGGAAAAGCCTATTTCATTCAGTTGTAAGCTACAAGTCAATCTAATTCGTGGATAACTTCTAAGTCTTGAGTTAGTTGTCTAGCAGCCACACCCACATTTGTACTTTTACTCCTTGATCCTGTAGACGCAAAAGGATTAGGAGGTATTGGGGTTCTGTCTGTGTCTCCCTCTAACATTTGAACAACCACTTGCATGGATGGTCTATCCATAGCATGCCACTGGATGCACCGAAGTCCAACAGTTGCTAGTTTCCTTGCAATTTCTGCATCCCCTTCATCATCTATGTGAATTCTCCTTTCCTCACGTTCTTCTAAAAGATTGTGAATCCATTCTGGGTAGTAAACATGGCTAGTGTTTTCCTCTAAGTCCTTAGTGATCTTCCTCCCTCCTATTGTTTCAAGCAGCATCATTCCATAGCTATAAACATCTGCCTTGCATGACACGTTTCCAAAGTTTCGTGAGAAAACTTCAGGAGCAATGTACCCCAAAGTACCTCTAGCTGTGGTCATTGATACTATGCTCTGATCCCTTGAACACAATTTGGCTAGACCAAAGTCACATATTTTTGGAGTAAAGTCGTGGTCTAGTAAAACATTTTGAGGCTTAATGTCAAAATGGAGAATGCGTTGATCACAACCTTGGTGAAGATATTCAATTCCTTTGGCTATGCCTAAAGCAATGTCCTGCATCCTTTTCCAACCAAGGAAGTCTTGCCTGTTGGCCGGTGAATTTATGAACTTCTGCAGTGAACCATTTGGTAAGAACTCGTAAACAAGAGCTCTTCTAAAGCCATCGGCACAGAAACCGACCAAGCGAGCTATGTTAACATGGTGGATTCTACCCATTGTAGCTACTTCATTAACGAACTCTTCCCCATTTCCTTGGGAACTATTCAGCATCTTCACAGCAACAATAATTTCTTCGGAAATACTCCCTTTAAACACAATTCCAAAGGCTCCCTCTCCTAACTTGTCCTTAAAATTATGGGTGATTCTCTTAATTTCCAAATACGAGTACCTAGTGGGCTTAAGAGCCTTGTAGTCTTCTAGAAATTTTTCAATAATTGCTTGCTTTTCTTTTTGCAGTTTGTAAGAGTCATAGATGTGGTAGACTCCACCAGTCAACAGGACAAGAAAGAACGATCCTAGGACTGATCCTGTATTAATTTATGAAAACTGCTTTATAAGAAAATGATAATTTACTTGCTGATTAATAGTAATACTCAAAAGCAGAACTGCAATTGAAAGCTGACCTGTGGTCAATAGGGCTGTGGATGAACCTGCAAGCCACAGTAACAAAAGTTAGTTTATGCGATAGTTAAAAAAATTCAATAGACATCTCAATAATCTATATTAATTGAATGAAATTACATGAAACCTCCAAATACTAAATGCTTTACCATCAAGTGTTAACTTTCTATGATTCTATCCCAGCAGTGTTTGCTGATGAAAAAGAATCAAAAGGTTACCTCTGGGATTGCTGAAACAAAATATTTCATGCTTGGCAGTATAGTTGTTCCACTTCCAACCACACGTGTTCCCTTTTGATTCGCAATGCTTACAGTTTGGAGCAGACCACATTAAAAGAAGAACGTTGTCCTTTAAGGAATTAAAAGGGAAGAATGAAATGTTAAACATTTTTGTACAAAATGACAGGGGCAAGTCCTGGATCATCTCGCGAGATGGAATAGCATACGCTTGAGAGGTTGAGGTGGTTAGGCATGGAACCAAATAATAGTTCAAATCTCTATTAGTTGGTTTTGAACAATTGAAAAAGTTATAGCTACTGTCTGCATAGTAGTCGGGCTTGAACTGGAAATGTGAACCTGATAGATTGAGGTTCGGTAGGTGCTTGGAAAGGCAACCGTATGGATCAGATAATGCAATCGTTTGGTGTTTGTAGTCAATACTGTTGACTCTGAGCATCACTGATTTATGGAGTTCAATCACAGTTTCGTTACTAGTTGAACAAGATAAGTCGAAGCCCGGATAGCCACACTGTTGTGGATGGCGTCCTTTGATTCGGAAAGGGAATCGAATCACCTGATTTCCGCATGATAAATCTAAACATTTGTTGATCATACTGATGCCAAATGCAAGCTCTACATTAAAGCAAACCATCAACAACAATCCAACAACGGAAGAGGATGCTATTACTAAACAAGTATCCATATCTCGAGTGAGTCTTTGGCTCTAGTTCTTCACCTTCAACCCCGTCTCGGTTGAAAGACTTTTCAATCTCTCTACAGTTTCCCAATTATTTCCTTCTATGACATAAGAGCTTACCTCAAAAACCAACTATATTGACATTCAATAAGAAAAGGATTGTCCAAAACTTTATAGGGAGTATTCTGGCCACATTCTTAGCTAACGTGACATCTTAACAATTCACATATCTCACATTAAATAAGTCCTTTGCTGTATTCAACTGTACAGTCGGCTTTAACAGTAGCTTCTCAGCAATTTCCTCTTATGACATATGAACTGACGTCAGAAGCTAATTTCATGGACATTATTTTCCATGCATCGACTTTGAGTTTGTGGCACTATTAAATCCTCCCAATAATTTGTTGACTTAAGTCAACTCTAACTTCCACGAGACTTGTTTAATTTGATGCATATATCCTTTTATCTTATTGGTGTCATTTTTGCCTCGTGCTTTGAATATTTCTAATCTGCAAGACCATTGAAATGCTATCCTTTGCTGTATCCCGGATAACCCTTTTGGTGGTGTTCCTACTCTTCCTCTATCAAAGTTACAAGTGCAATGCAAAGGAAGATGCTCAACTCTGTTCTCGCCGGTGTGGGATCCATAACATAACCCACCCTTTCCGGTTACAAGACAGTCCAGACACGTGTGGTGATACGAGGTACAACCTATCCTGCGAGGACAACCAATTGTTGCTCTATTTGGGCTTCGGAAAATACTATGTTAAGTCAATTAATTACAACAACTATACAATACGGTTAGTGGATGTCAACATTCGACCGCATGATTACTCCTCCCTTCCTCGTTATTCTTTAGGCCTCTACAATTTCAGCTTGAGTACACCATATACAACTTATCAGGATAGTAATAGCTCGGTAAAGTCTCTCTTATATTGGAGCTGTCCAAATGGGGTGGATTCCTCTCTTCACAATGTTAATGAAAATCCCATTTGCGTGAATACTTGGCATGCAGTGATTATTCATGACGAATCTCTTCGGGATTTGGGAATTGGAGATTCTTGTCGCATAGAGTTTATGTATATCACATCTTGGCCTAACGAATTAACTAATGGCAACGTTTCATGCGCTGAAATCCGTCATATGCTGCTTTATGGTTTTGAACTTTCTTGGCTCAGTAGTTTTTGTAAAGACCGGGAGTTCGGCTACCTCGACGACAATAGCCAGCATCGCTGTTTCGTTTTTCCAGGTTTGCTTCCCAATAACTTCAGCTTCCTTAACAGCAATTTTTTCTTTTAATTTTTTGTGTCATACTGATGCAATAAAGTGGATGCTGTTTATTCACTTGAAATATTAAACTTTAGATATCGTTTCCAAATTATAAAATTTTACATTTTAAAGAGAAAAATGATCTTTATGCGCATTCGCTAGATGTAAAATGAGAGATAAAAAATAAAAAAAAGTGAAAAAAATTATAAATCATTTTTATTTATAAAGAAAGAGAGATATTATATGTAGATCACCCATTTTTCTTTCATTTTTTTTATGACTCCCGAATAAAAGAATATTTTATTATAAATCTTTTTTTTTTCTCTGTATCACAACATATTTGATGACTCTTCAAACAAACCATCACAGTATATGGAAACAATTTAGACTTTATTCCTAAAAAAACACAACTTAGCTTTTTATTGAATTATGCTATGCAATTATATTTATACACAAATCACCGTTCATTTTCGTCATCTATTATCTAAATTGCATGTGAATCATTTACGAAAGATCACACAGCTACTAGTCATATAGGTAATTATATTTACATACACCTTATATTTGCAGACCCCAAGCAGTTAATTTCTTAACCATTCTCATTGTTTCATGTACGTTCTTGCAGGAGACGCTGATATATTGATTCTATTTTACTGGATATTAAGTAAGCCTATGCCTTCCGTCAAGTCAATTACCTACATTAGCAGGCAGGGATTTTGTAGTGATGCATGATGACCTGCAGTCATATAATTAGCCAGTAGAATTTAACAACATTAAGGGAGAAAGAAAAATTAAAACTACATTGATTTAATCTTGAAATTAATTTGGATAGACAAAATAAGACGATTTTTATTTTAAAATAAATTCTTACGTTCAAATTTAATAAATATCAAATTGATACTTATTAGACTCTATTTTAATGATTTGTTTTCTCTTGCGATATCTTCTTTACAGCATATGTCGCTTTGTTTTGTGGTGTCAAATTTGTGCTTGGAGCTCCATGTATCACTGTCTTATTTATCTATAAATGGAGGCGAAGGCATCTTTCAATGTATCACACCATTGAAGATTTTCTACGAAGTGACTATAGCATCATGCCTATAAGGTACTCTTACAAAGACATAAAGAGAATAACAGGGCACTTCAAGACAAAACTAGGGAATGGAGGTTATGGTTCTGTCTTCAAAGGACAACTTCGAAGTGGTCGTTTCGTAGCTGTCAAGATGTTGGATAAAGCCAATGCCAATGGTCAAGATTTCATCAATGAAGTTGCTACCATTGGTAGGATTCATCATGTTAATGTGGTGCAACTCATTGGTTTTTGTGTGGAGGGGTCAAAGCGGGCTCTAATATATGAGTTCATGCCAAATGGATCTCTAGAAAAATATATTTTTTCTAATGAAGAGAGGTCTTCCTTGAGTTGTGAAAATTTTCATGCCATTGCTCTTGGAGTGGCCCATGGTATTGAATATTTACATAATGGCTGCAATATGAAAATTTTACACTTTGACATAAAGCCTCATAACATCCTTCTTGATGAGAATTTCAATCCAAAAGTTTCTGATTTTGGACTCGCAAGACTTTATCCTACAGATAATAGTATTGTGTCTTTGACTGCAGCAAGAGGAACCATAGGATACATGGCACCTGAACTCTTCTACAGAAATGTTGGCACAATTTCCTACAAAGCTGATGTTTATAGCTTTGGCATGTTGTTAATGGAGATGGCCAGTAGAAGGAAGAACTTGAACGCATTGGCTGAGCAGTCGAGCCAAATTTATTTTCCTTTTTGGGTTTATGATCGATTGCAAGATGAAAGGGAAATTACAATTGAAAATGACACAGAAGAAGAGATTAAATTGACAAAGAAAATGATGATTGTGGCCTTGTGGTGTATACAAACAAGGCCTGACAATCGTCCTTCGATGGTTAAAGTGTTAGAGATGCTCGAAGAAGATAAGGAATTGCAGATGCCTAGTAAGCTCTACTTATATCTACAAGATCTAGCAGCTGAGGACATTAGAGATCATAGTAGTTCAAGGTCATCCTCTGATATATCAACAAATGATTGAGAGTCAATATGATCTCTTTTTAGCTCTTGAATGATTTCTTTGTAGTCTTACTGCCTTTAGGCATATGTTATGACAAGTGTTTCTGACTTTTAATAAGTAGGGTTCTTATGTTAGATTCTTGTTTGAATAAGAGTCTAAGACTATTATTCGTCATTGCAGTGAAAACTATATTTTTCATTGTTTAAAAAAATAATAAGACATACAATCAACCTTCTTTATCAACTAATTGAAAATACTAAAGTTTTATCAAAATTACTTAAGTGACCAAAAAATAGGGTTCTAAACCAAGCCACAAAACCCTGGTGCACGTGCTCCATAAGAACCAATTCACGTTACCAAAATACTTAATTGGGCTAGGCCATACATTTGAATCTAATCCTTACCTTCTTGGATATTTATTCTTGTATCTAGACCTCAATGGATACATGTTTACGCTTTCCTCGATTAGGGTTCTAAAATATTCTTTTGTTAGCATTTTTCCACGTCTCATGAAATTGTGAAGAGTATATGTTTAATCCACCCATGTATAACTCACGTAATCAAGCATTATAAATAAGTCAATGACAATGTACTAAATAAGCAAGCTACTCCAAATATTATTGCTCTACTAATACAAACTCTTATTTAATTAAAGTAACCTTACAGGTTCCTTCCCAATCTCTTCAATTTGAACAAGTTCAATCTCTACATTCTGAATTGTCATGTGGGACCTCCACATAAAACGGTTCAACACAAAAAATATTTAAATATAATCCTAGATGTATGGATTGCAACTTTTCAAAATTTTGTAACAAAATTATTAGTTTTTGTAAACTAAATTAATCCCCATTTAAACTTCAAATTAGCATCACAAATAGGGGTTATGTGAATATCAATGTTCTAATATGCATCCAAGAGAATGCATTACAATCTCCAAGTTCATATTATTTACTTTAATACTATCAATTATGATTTTTACATTGGATCCACGTTAAAACACTTCATATAATTTTAAGTTACAACTCAATCCGACTCTTGTATGACTTCCATGTCCTGTGTTAGTTGTCTGCAGCTACACCCAAATTTGTACTTTTACTCCTTGATCCTGTAGACGCAAAAGGATTAGGAGGTATTGGGGTTCTGTATATGTCTCCCTCTAACATTTGTACAACCACTTGCATGGATGGTCTATCCATAGCATGCCACTGGATGCACCAAAGTCCCACAATTGCTAGTTTCCTTGCAATTTTTGCATCCCCTTCATCATCTATGTGAATTCTCTTTTCCTCACGTTCTTCTAAAAGATTGTGAATCCATTCTGGGTAGTAAACATGGCTAGTGTTTTCCTCTAGGTCCTCAGTGATCTTCCTCCCTCCTATTGTTTCAAGCAGCATCATTCCATAGCTATAAACATCTGCCTTGTATGACACGTTTCCAAAGTTTCGTGAGAAAACTTCAGGAGCTATGTACCCCAAAGTACCTCTAGCTGTGGTCATTGACACAATGCTCTGCTCCCTTGAACACAATTTGGCTAGACCAAAGTCACATATTTTTGGAGTAAAGTCGTGGTCTAGTAACATATTTTGAGGCTTAATGTCAAAATGGAGAATGCGCTGATCACAACCTTGGTGAAGATATTCAATTCCTTTGGCTATGCCTAAAGCAATGTTCTGCATCCTTTTCCAACCAAGGAAGTTTTGCCTGTTGTCTGGTGAATTTATGAACTTCTGCAGTGAACCATTCGGTAAGAACTCATAAACAAGAGCTCTTCTAAAGCCATCGGCACAAAAACCGACCAAGCGGGCAATGTTAACATGGTGAATTCTACCCATTGTAGCTACTTCATTAACGAACTCTTCCCCATTTCCTTGGGAATTATTCAGGATTTTCACAGCAACCATAAAATCTTTGGAAATGCTTCCTTTAAACACCGTTCCATAGGCTCCTTCTCCTAACTTGTCCTTAAAATTGTTGGTGATTCTCTTAATTTCAACATAAGAGTATCTGGTAGGCTTAAGTGCTTTATAGTCTTCTAAAAATTTCTCAATAATAGCTTGCTTTTCTTTCTGCAGTTTGTAAGCCTCGTAAATGTGAAAGACAGCACCACTCAACAGGACAAGAAGAAACGATCCTAGGACTAATCCTGCATGTACGAAAACTATACCTTTAGAAAATGATCATTTAACTGAAAAAGCGGAACTAATTAAGCTTTAAAAGCTTACCTGTGGTCACTATAGCTTTTGATGAACCTGCCACACCAATCAAAAAATTATACATCTGAAGAATTTGTCTTTATCTACCAATTGCCATAGACCATTTTTATAATAACTATTAACGATGATCTTACTAGTCAAAAGCTGCATATAACTAGTTAGAAATCGTAGTCAGGTTGACTAATTTTTAAGGTTAATGTCTTCATCTATATGGTTTTTTCAGCCTTCTAACTTAAAGATTGCATGCATCTACATGAACTGAACATGGAACATCCAAATACTGAAATACACTCTTAATTGTTAACTTTTTCTGATGCTATAGAATGAAAAACTTACCTTTGTGATTGGGGAAGCAATGTAATTCATGATTGGTAGTATTATTCTTCGACCCACATACGTTCCCTTCTGACTCGCATTGTTTACAGTTTGGCTCAGACCATGTCAAAAGAATCACATGAACGTTCTCACGAAAGAAAGCAATAGGGACGAATGAAATATCAAACAGTTTGGTGCAAAATGACAGGGGCAAGTACTCGATCGTATTATCAGATGAAACAGCATATGCGTTAGAGGTTGAAGTACTTAGGCACGGAACAGAATTCATATAGTCCAATAAATATCTTTTCGTGTGTGACAGTGAACAATTGAAAATGATATAGTCACCGTATGCATTGTAGTGGGGCATGAACTGAAAATTCGAAGCTGATAGATTGAGGTTCACTAACTGCTTAGAAAGGCAACCGTATGAATCAGATAGTGCAATAGTTTGCTGTTTGTAATCAATGCTATTGACTTTGAGCATCACTGATTTTGGGAGTTCAATCATAGTTTCGTTACTTGATGAACAAAATAAATCAAAGCCAGGATAGCCAAACTGTTGTGGATGCCGTCCTTTGATTCCGAAAGGGAATCGAATCACCATGTTTCCACATGATGACTCTGAACAATTGTTAGCAATTTCAATGCCAAGTGCAAAGCAAACCATGAACAACAATCCAATTAACGAGGGTATTATTATTACCAATGAAGAATCCATATCTTTAACGAGTCTTTAATTGACATTGCCCAAGCATACCAGAGTTTAATTTTCAATCTTCCAATAGCGGCCAAATAATTTCCTCCTATGGCATAGGAGCTATCGTCAAAACTTATTCTATAATCTATATTTATTATACTATTCATATGTCCTCTTTCTCAACATAAGAATCTGAGAACTTGCCAAGAGACTCCGTTAATGTCGAGGAGCTTAACTAATCTTATAGATGTGGAAACAGATATACTCGCCGGCACATGTTGAAGTCCTTATCTAACAGAACTATGATATTATTTATTTGTGTATCTCATTTTCTGCGTGATCACACAAAAATGTCATCTTCCTTCGCAGCGTTTTTTGTGCTCCTAATCCTATTCTATGGAAACTGCAGGTGCAATGCAACAGAAGATACTGAACTCTGTTCTCGCTGGTGTGGGATTCACAACATAACCCACCCTTTCCGGTTACAAGACAGTCCAGACACGTGTGGTGATACGAGGTACAACCTATCCTGCGAGGACAACCAATTGATGCTCTATTTGGGCTTCGGAAAATACCATGTTAAGTCGATTAATTACGACAACTACACAATTCGAGTAGTGGATGTTAATGTTGGAGCGCATGATTACTCTTCCCTCCCTTCTTACTCTTTGGGACAATACAATTTCAATGAATATGAGCCATATCGAGTGGATCGGGATTATCGCAGCAACATTTTGGCGAAGTCTATGATGTATTTGTGGTGTCCAAGTCGAGTGGATTCATGTGATCTTTACGTTGGGGACAATGAAAGTTGCGTATGGTATGCGATTGGGAGCACTTTCTATCTGAATGTTGATGGAAGACCAATTCGGGATTTGGGGCTGAGAGACTCGTGTCGGATAGAGTTGCAGTATATGACATCGTGGCCTAATGAAATCAGCCACGGAAACATTTCATGCACTGACATACATGAAATGCTGCTTTATGGTTTTGAACTTTCTTGGGTTAATAGTCTCTGTCCAGTTAATTCGTACTTCGTACTCGCCCACGATCCCCAACCTCTCTGTTTACGTCTTCCAGGTTTGCTTCCCCTTTGCAATTTTTCTTTCTTTTATTTCTGCCATCTGAATGACACAAATGAATGCAATTAAGTGGATGAAAATATTAAACTTCAGATATTAAAATTTATGTGTGTTGACGGTATAAAATGTAAACTTTAAACAATATCAGAGTAATATGCAGAAAATAAAGAATAATAAGTAAAATCATGAGTAGTGACAAATTTTTTTATTAATAATAATAATGTATAAATATTGAATTACAAAAAGTCTTCTCAAAGAACTCTTACTAGTATGAAAAAAAAATAGCCTCTTAGAAAAAAAAATGCATTCAATGTTTTATACAATTTTTATTCTTTATTGAATTTGTTTAATATAAAATAAACAAAGATTAATAGATGCAGGGGGAAAATATTTTTTTTAAAATTTTAGTGGTATTTCTTTTTTAAAATACAATCCAAAAGAATCCAATTACTTCACCCATTTTAAAATATGATTTAAACAAAATGGGAATAAATTTAAATTCTTAACGATCTTATTAAAATGAGTAAATTAAGTCAACTCGACATATTAAAATCATATTGCCATTCCTAGAATTTATACTTCATTTTAAAAAAAAAGCATCTACCTAACTTTTATCATTGAATTGTGCTGTTTGATTATTTTTATAAACCCGCCACCACACATTTTCGTAATTTCTATTATCTACATTGCATGAAGCATTTACAAGAAGTCACACTACTACGATAATTATATATATTTACATAGCCCATATATTCGCGAATCCATGTTAGCAGTTAATTTAGTTAACCTCTCGTATGTTTCATGTATGTTCTTGCAGGAATCAAAAGTACGGCGTTGGTATTAGAAAGTATCGCGGTATCATTATCACGTGAGCCCATGCTTTCCCTTACGGTACCAACATTAGGGGGTGGGGATTTCTTTAGTGATGCATGATGACCTTCAGAAATAGAAGAGCACCAGTAGAATTTAACAACGTTTAGGGAGGAAGAAAAATTAAAACTACATTGATTTAATCTTGAAATTAAAATTGGAAAACGAAATAGGACCTTTTAGTTTTTTTTTAATAAAAAATCTATTATAAAATACTAAAATTCTCAGGTTCCAAATTAAGAGATATCAAAGACTGTGATACTTATTAAATGCCATTTTAATTATTTATTTTCTTTTATTATCTCTTCTTCATAACAGTGGCTGCTATATTTTGTGGTGCCAAGATGATATTTGGAGCTCCATGTGTCACTGCTTTATTTATCTACAAATGGCGACGAAGGCATTTGTCTATTTATGATAGCATTGAAGATTTTCTACGAAGTGATAATAACATTATACCCATAAGGTACTCTTACAAAGACATCAAGAGGATAACAAGGCAATTCAAGATTAAACTAGGGAATGGAGGCTATGGTTCAGTCTTCAAAGGACAACTTCGAAGTGGACGTGTTGTAGCTGTTAAGATATTGAATAAAGCCAAAGCCAATGGCGAGGAATTCATCAACGAAGTTGCTACCATTGGTAGGATTCACCACATTAATGTGGTGCAACTCATTGGTTTTTGTGTGGAGGGATCAAATCGTGCTCTTATATATGAGTTCATGCCAAATGGATCTCTTGAAAAATACATTTTCTCTCATGAAGAGAGTTCTTCCTTAAGTTGTGATAAATTGTATGACATATCTCTTGGAGTGGCCCGTGGCATTGAATACCTACATAATGGATGCAACATGAAAATTTTACACTTTGACATAAAGCCTCATAACATTCTTCTTGATGAGAATTTCAATCCAAAAGTTTCTGATTTTGGTCTTGCAAGATTTTGTCCTAATAATAATAGCATTGTGTCTTTGACAGCAGCAAGAGGAACTATAGGATACATGGCACCTGAACTCTTCTATAGAAATGTTGGTACAATCTCCTACAAAGCTGATGTTTATAGCTTTGGCATGTTATTGATGGAGATGGCCAGTAGAAGAAAGAACTTGAATGTATTGGCTGAACAATCTAGCCAAATTTATTTCCCTTATTGGGTGTATGATAGGTTACATGATGGAAGGGAAATTACAATTGAAAATGACACAGAAGAGGAGATGAAACTGGCAAAGAAAATGATAATTGTAGCCTTGTGGTGTATACAAACAAAGCCAGGTGATCGTCCTCCAATGGATAAAGTGTTAGGGATGCTTGAAAAAGATGAAGAATTACGAACGCCAAGTAAACCTTTTTTATATCCACAAGATCTATCAAATGAGGATACTAGAAATCATTGTAGTTTAGGATCATCCTATGATGTATCAGTAAGTAAATCCACGAAGTCAATTTGATATCATTTTGGATCTCATAAGTTCTTATACCACCTGTATCTAACTCATAAGGTTGTACTCTTACCACCTTGAATACATGTTACAATAAGTGTTTCTGGCACAGATGAAAAAGAATATTCTTATGTTAGACTATTGTTTAAATATGACTATTCATCATGACAAATAAAAATTAGATTTTTTTGTTAAATATTACAACGATTGAAAATACCGACTACCCGAAAATACTAAAATTTTCTCAAAATTTTTTTAAAAGATCAAATATTGGTTTAGCTATATTTTTAGAGGTATTTAAGATTTGCATATTTTTGTAATTTTATAATAATTTTTGTATATTATCATTCAATCATTAATTATTATATTATTAAAATTATTGATTTTAATAAAATTTATTTTAAAACTTAATATTTATAATATTTTTTTAGTTAATTGATAATGTAAAAAAATTATGCAACAATATAACAAAATTAAAGTTTTATTACAAATCATCATTTGATATTGATCTTAGCACCACTCGTAAGGAGGGGTGGAATGAAAATTTATGTATGGATCAAGATCCCCAGCAATTCTTTTTTTTAACTGCATGAATCTGATCCCTTAAAAGACTATAATTTTATATTAAAATGTTAAATTAAAAATTGCTTAAAAAGATATTAACGATGAGATTATGAACTGCATATGGTGCAGTTAATTGTTTAAGAACTCTAGAGGACTTCAATATACATCCACGAGGTTGCATGATCAGCCAAGATACATTTTCTTTTTACTTTAGTCATTTAGAGATGCAGAATTACAAATACAAGTGTTGTTTTTTATTTTTTTTTTGAGAATTTTGAATGGCAAACTACAAACTTAATATAATCACAATAAGCAACGTCTTAGTTTTTTTTTTTCAAGAACGAATCGTGAGATTTTGATGATAAGGAATCAAATCGATGCCATTTTCTATAATTGAGAAAGGTAAATTAACGATTAATTTATCATGATAAAAGGTTTCAAATAATAATATTTTATAATTGAGAAATTAATTAGCGTATTTTTTAAAAGATTAAATTGATTCTTTTTTTAATTAGATAATTAGATTGAATTTAATTATTTTTAGAGGACCAGTAAATTGATCTTGGGATAAATTAAAATGTATAGTTACTTTTAAACAAGATCAATACGTATAATGTGTTTATATTTTCATTTAAAATTCTAAACATATTATTTTAAGAAAATACGAACAATTTTTTACATCTGAGTCTTTCTGAAAAGAAAATAAAACATGCATTTTAGTAGACAAACGTAAACAATCAGATTCACCTTAACACAGGACGTCAAGGAGTGATATGTGTTGCACAAAGAACAAATGAGTTTCGTAATTTACGTAAACTCTTGCATATTTCAATATTCTAGTAAATTTTACTTCAATGTATAAATTGAATAAAAAATTATAGAAATTATAAAAAGTTGTTGAACAATTGCTTTAGGAGTGTAGCAGATGATCTGGTTATCTTCTGTTATTTTTACACGGGAAAGGAAATTACATTAAACAAAGCTAGGAATATTATCCAAGGCAATAGCATCCACAATACATTCAGGAGTTTCCTCTTTCCAAATATGGTTCAAACTAGATATAGAGAATTTTGCTGAAAGATGAACTGTGTTATAAAGAAAGAAATGTCGGAAGCAAAATTCGAAAAGCCAAATTTTGAAATAGTCCAATAAATATCAATGTCCTTATCTTCAAAGCACTAGTTATTTCTAGCTAGCCAAATTTCGTAGGCCAGTGCTATAATACTTCTATTCTCTTCTAGAAATTACACTATTTCAAGATATTTTTATATATGGATTTCCTGGAGTTTTGGACCATCTATATAATCTGCTGAGTAAAACATGCAAAGAAACTATTAATATTTTAAAATTTTAAATTATCTAATCCAACAGCAACACCAACTTATGCTTCTTTCAAAGCACATAAACTAAAATAATAATAATAATCTTATTCCGTAATCATTGATAAGTTACTCGAGCTCATGGATAACATCGAAGTCTTGGATTAGTTGTCTAGCAGTCTCACCCAAACTTGCACTTGCACTTGTTCTCCTTGGTCCTGCAGAAGCAAAGGGATTAGGAGGCATTGAGGATCTGTTTATGTCTCCCTCTAACATTTGAACAACCACTTGCATGGATAGTCTATCCATAGCATGCCACTGGATGCACCAAAGTCCCACAATTGCTAGTTTCTTTGCAATTTTTTCATCCCCTTCATAATCTATGTGAATTCTCTTTTCCTCACGTTCTTCTAAAAGATTATGAATCCATTCTGGGTAGTAAACATGGCTGATGTTTTCCTCTAAGTCCTCAGTGATCTTCCTCCCCCCTACTGTTTCAAGAAGCATCATTCCATAGCTATAAACATCTGCCTTGTATGACACGTTTCCAAATTTTCGTGAGAAAACTTCAGGAGCAATGTACCCCAGAGTTCCTCGTGCTGTGGTCATTGACACTATGCTCTGATCCCTTGAACACAATTTGGCTAGACCGAAGTCACATATTTTTGGAGTGAAGTTTTGGTCGAGTAACACATTTTGAGGCTTAATGTCAAAATGGAGAATGCGCTGATCACAACCTTGGTGAAGATACTCAATTCCTTTGGCTATGCCTAAAGCAATGTCCTGCAGCCTTTTCCAACCAAGGAAGTTCTGCCTGTTGTCTGGTGAATTTATGAACTTCTGCAGTGAACCATTTGGTAAGAACTCATAAACAAGAGCTCTTCTAAATCCATCTGCACAAAAACCGACCAATCGAACAATGTTAACATGGTGGATTCTGCCCATTGTACTAACTTCATTAATGAACTCTTCTCCATTTCCTTGGGAATTATTCAGCATCTTTACAGCAACAATAAATTCTTTGGAAATGCTTCCTCTAAACACAGTTCCATAGGCTCCCACTCCTAACTTGTCCTCAAAGTTATTGGTGATTCGCTTAATTTCAGCATATGAGTATCTGGTGGGCTTAAGAGCTCTGTAGTCTTCTAAAAATTTTTCAACAATTGTTTGTTTTTCCTTTTGCTGTCTGTAAGAGTCATACATGTGGTAAACTGCACCGGTCAGGAGGATGAGAAACAACGATCCTAGGACAGATCCTACATTTATGAAAACTGAATGTTCAAAACAACATAATTTTACTAATTGGTTAATACTAAAAACACAGTGCAGAAATTTAAAGCTTACCTGTGGTGGCAAGAGCTGTTGATGAACCTGCAAACCACAGTAACCAAACTCAATTTATGTGATAGTAAAAAAAATAAAATCATTAGACATCGCATGAATCTATATTAATTGAATGCTCCGAAATAGCTACAAATGAAATCACTTGCGTTTGGTAGACTTAATATTTCCATGCTTTTGAGATAAGTGTTAATTAAGTTCTTACAAATTAAGAGCTGCATGTAGCTGGTTAGAAGAGTCAGGTTGATCAATATGTAAGGCTAGTGTATTCATCCAGATGGATCAATTAGATTTTTACCTTTCATGATTGCATCTAGATGAATTGAACATGGAATCCCCTAATACTCGAGATTAAACAATGTCAACTAGCTAGTAATGCTTTATGATGCGATAGAATCAAAAGTTTATTACCTTTGTGATTGGAGAAGCAATGTATTTCTTTCACTAGCATGGCAGTATCATTCTTCCACCCACATCTATTCCCTTTTGATTCACAATGTTCACAGTTTGGCTCAGACCATGTCAGAACGAGAATATTCTCTTTAAGAAAATCAAAAGGGGAGGATGAAATATTTAACATTTTGGTACAAAATGTCAGTTCCAGGTTCTCCATGCGTGTATCGGATGGAATAGCATATACTCGAGAGGTTGAGTCACTTGGGCTGAGACATGGAACTAAATAAGAGTTCAAACTTCTTTTCATTGATGAACAATTGAAAAAGTTATAGTCACCATGTACATGGTAGCTGGGCTTGAATTGGAAAAGTGAAGCTGATAGACTGAGCTTGAGGTTTAGGAGCTGCCTCGAAAGGCAATCATTTGGATCAGATAATTCTATAATTTGGTGTTTGTAGTTAATATTATTGACACTGAGCTTCACTGACTCTGTCAGTTCAATCACAGTTTTGTTACTTGCTGAACAAAATAAATCAAAGCCAGGATAGCCACAGTGTTGGGGATGCCGCCCTTTGATTCGAAAAGGGAATCGAATCACCAAGTTTCCACATGATGATTCTGAACAATTGTTGACAATGCCAATAACAAGTGCAAGCTCTACACTGAAGCAAACCATAAACAACAATCCAATAGAATGGGATGATACTGCTAGCAAAGAAGTGTCCATATTGTGAGTGAGTGTTTGGCAATTAGCATATGCGCATGTTTCGGTTTAAAAACAAATTTCAATGTCACCGAGTCATTAACATTAACTCACTATTCAATGATATGATATAAGAGGTTACGTCATTAGCTAATTTAGTAGATATTCGATTCCAGCGAGTGGTTGCATTATACTAATTAAGCTCCCTCTCAACTTCAGTGTCAGATTGACTTGCATACACGCAATTGTTAATACCGTTTTTCTAACATGCGTTTAACGCGTACGGTACACAATAAAAACTTGTGTATTACTACTATAAGGTATTATTGGAAATAACATCGTATCGCTAAATTCAATTCTTTGACAACATTAGCTACCACAAATTTCAACAAAATTTTACTATTTATTCATTTTTTTCTTGCTCTCTCAATTACCACAGAGATGTCATCAACTTTTGCTGCATCAATGGTGCTCCTAATCCTATTGTATGGAAATTGTTGGTGCAATGCAACGGAAAATGCTGAACTCTGCTATCGGCGGTGCGGGATTCATAACATAACATCCCCTTTCCGGTTGCAAGACAGTCCTGACACATGTGGTGACAAGAGGTACAACCTATCCTGCGAGAACAACCAATTGGTGCTTTATTTGGAGTTCGGAAAATACAACGTGAAGTCAATTAATTCGAACAACTACACAATACGAGTAGCGGATGTTAATGTTGGAGCGCATGATTACTCCTCCCTCCCTCGTTATGGTTTAACGCTCAACAATTTCAGCGATGATGATGAGCCATATCAAGCGTATCAGTATTGGATAGGGTACGTAGGGACGTTAAATTCGTTTTCGGCGTTCATGAAGAGGAGTTTGGTAAAGCTTATGTTATATTTGAGGTGTCCAAATAGGGTGGATTCGTGTGATCTATACGTTGGTGAGAACGTGAGTTGCATGAACGGTAATTCGTATGCGCGTGGAAGTACTTTCTATGCGAATGTTGAAGGGAAATCTCTTTGGGATTTGGGACTGAAAGACTCGTGTCGTGTGGAGTTTACGTATCTCACATCGTGGCCTAAAAAAGATACTCCTGGCAATGTTTCGTGCATTGAAATCCATGAGATGCTGTTTCATGGCTTTGAACTTTCTTGGCTGAATAGTCTTAGTCACGAGGATTCGTTTGTGGGGTTCAATCGCAGGGGGCAACTTCGTTATGATCTCCGAACAGGTTAGTTTGCGATAGACTTATGTTTCCTTTAGTGCATTGTAGATATGAAACCGATCGATTCGTGTTTTCTTTTTTCGTACTTGAGAGTGACATCGTGTGTTGAACACGAAATTTTTTTCACTGTTTTAGACTATGTAGTTTCAACTATGATTCTCTGGCATGTGTATAAATTTTATAATTTATAAAAAAAAAATAATTGATATGTAATACAACGTGAGTGATTAAAACTACATAATATTGAACTATTCAAAAATTACTCGTAGAAGGACGAGGAGAAAATGAAGATTAGAAATGTATGAAAGAAAATATTGGAATTAATGGTAATGTTTATTTAAAGAGAAATGATATTTTTATAAAAATATTTTATAACTGTTCATACAAAAAATACACAAACGTTATATCATTATTTATTTTATGATTTTAAAAAATACATGCTAAAAGATATGAATTATTTTATTCTTTTGTATTTGTATGAATTATTGCAAATTTATCATGCCTCTTATTTTTAAAAAAATTCAAATATAAAAAAGTTTAAAATGTTTATTTTTTTAAAATATTTTTTTAATCTAGTGCATGGCATATTAAAGTAAATGAAAGAAAAATTAATTTTTTTTATGTATATTTAAAGACGCACAACAAATCTTTCTTTTATACGTACATATATAACTCTTGATTAACATAATATTTTATTTGCAATCCCTCTTTTCTTTTTCTTTCCATTTTCAAAACATGTGAAGACTCTTCAAAGCATCAAGGTATATAAAAAAGTTTAAACTTATACCAAATAAATTACGAGCACCTACCTATATAACTTATTACTGAATTATGTTAATTATCTTATTATTTTATTTTGACACAATTTACCCTACAACTGTGTAACTTCTATTATCTAAAATGCTTGAAGCATTTACCAAGATTTACGTACACTACCACTTTATCCATAAGATCAATAATTATATTTATATTGTAGACTCCTGATAGATGAATTGACAATTAATTTGTCAACCACATGATCTAATTGCTTCCATGTTATTGCAGAAGAAAGGAATCCTCGGGTTTGGAAAATTGTAGATATCTTGGATGAACTGTCAAGTAAGTAGCCTTCCCTTTAGCCAATTATATCAAAAAGGAATAGAAGAGCACGTATCAGTGGAATTTATTTGTTTAAAGGGAGTGAAAAAAAATGCAAAGCTACTTCCATTTAATCTTGAAATTGAAATTAGGTAAACAAATTAGAATGATTCTTATATATATTAAGTTCTATGAAGAACTCTAAAATTCAAAGACTTAAAATTAAGAGATATCTAACAGATTCTTGTTACACCCCATTGTAATGATTTGTTTTTGCTTGCCATATCTTCTTTACAGAAATAGTTGTATTGATCAGTGGTGCCAGATTTGCAATTGCAGCTCCATGCGTTAGTGTTATACTTATCTATAAATGGAGACGAAGGCATTTATCTATGTATGATACCATTGAATATTATCTACAAAGTGACAATAACATCATGCCTATACGGTATTCTTACAAAGACATAAAGTGGATAACGGGACAATTCAGTACAAAACTAGGGAGTGGAGGCTATGGTTCTGTCTTCAAAGGACAACTTCGAAGTGGCCGTTTTGTAGCTGTCAAGATTTTGGATAAAACCAAAGAAACCAACGGTCAAGATTTCATCAATGAAGTTGTTACTATTGGTAGGATTCACCATATAAATGTGGTGCAACTCATCGGTTTTTGTGTGGAGGGATCTAAGCGTGCTCTTATATACGAGTTTATGTCAAATGGATCTCTTGATAAATTCATTTTCTCTCGTGAGGAAAGTTCTTCCTTAAGTTGCGAAAAGTTATATGCCATTTCTCTTGGAGTAGCTCGTGGTATTGAATACTTACATAATGGGTGCAACATGAAAATTTTGCACTTTGACATAAAGCCTCACAACATCCTTCTTGATGAAAATTTCAATCCAAAAGTTTCTGATTTTGGACTTGCAAGACTTTGTCCTATAGATAATAGCATTGTGTCTTTGACTGTGGCAAGAGGAACCATAGGATACATGGCACCTGAACTCTTCTACAGAAATGTTGGCACAATCTCTTACAAAGCTGATGTTTATAGCTTTGGCATGTTATTAATGGAGATGGCTAGTAGGAGGAAGAACTTGAATGCAATGGCTGAAGAATCTAGCCAAATTTATTTCCCTTTTTGGGTTTATGATCGATTGCAAGATGAAAGGGAAATTACAATTGAAAATGACACGGAAGAGGAGATAAAATTAGCAAAGAAAATGATGATTGTGGCTTTGTGGTGCATACAGACAAAGCCAAGTGATCGTCCTTCAATGGACAAAGTGTTAGAAATGCTTGAAAAAGACGAAGAATTACAAATGCCTAATAAACCCTATCTATATCCACAAGATCTACCAGCAGAAGACATTAGAGGTCTTGGCAGTTCGGGTCCATCTTCTGATATGTCAATACGTGATTCGAAATAGTCAACGTAATATCTTTTACATTCTGAAATATGGAGAGAAAAAACTATAAATAAGTATAAAAGGGTATAAATATATGGTGTAGGTGTGCAAAAAGGTTGTTCAAATAATATAATCCCTTGTAGAAAGAGATGTATATTATGTTGAGTGTTACTAAGCTTTGATAAGATGCACTAAAGTAACATTTTCATGTTAGACTCTCTTATATAATAAGGCATTGTCATTAAAAATGGTATTTTTGTTTTAGTCAGAGTTAATTTGAGTGTAGTCTTTTAATTTATTTTTATTATATATAATTTAAGTCTCTCTTCTTTTTCTTTTTCTTTTCCTTTCTTTTTTTTTTAGTTTTAGCTTTTATTAACATTTTGTGATGACCCTCGTTAACAATCATTCTAAAGTTACAAGTGTCATAACATGTCTATTTGCATGTTAAGTGTTGAAGTTTATAAGGACTTAAACCAATAAAAAAGTTGAAAAATTAAAATTAAATTTAGTCATATTTACAGAAATTAAAAATATAATTTGATTATAATGTAATATGTATTTATGAATTTTCTATTAAATATTAGAAATTTAGAAACCATTAATTATTTTTATTTTTAGATATTATTATCATTGACTTAATAAAACTACTCAGTTGAAATTTATTTGTATTTATATCTTTCAAGATATAAAAAAAAAAAAAATAAGTTGGTAAAGTATGAATTTTAAAGATAAATTAAATTAAAATTTTAATTGAATCTTAAATTAAAGTATCAATAGGAAATTTTAATTAAGTTTACTTAAATATTAGAGCACAATAATTTTAAATTAATTCCAGACCAAATTTTTTTTTAATTTATTGAATATTTTTTATAAATAAATACAACTTAAAATTATAATTTAAAATTTTAATTCCTGTTATTTTTGTTTAAATCATAATATATAAATTTGAAAGATTCGTAGTTTGACCGTCCAATTTAATGGGTATAATAAATAAAGAAATGATTCCTAAACGGAAAAGTCGATAGCTCTTGATTCCAATGAGATTCGATTCTTTTATAAAACCACGTTTCCAAAACCATGATTTTCTTTCAAGCTTTTTCATCAACACATCAACCAACATTTTAGTGAAGCTCGTTGATACACGTTATTTATCTACTATTAGAGAAAGTTTTCGTCCGAGACATGTTATGTTTGGTGCAATGATAAAATAAAACGAAAATAAAGGAAAAGTGATAGCTGTGTTTTCATCAATATTGGCTCGTAGAGTCCTTCAGCCCTTTACAGATTCTGGCATATGCATTTTCTGCTACCAAATGGTTTGCAGAATGAGGATTTCTTCCTGGCATGACGTGCTTTTTTGTATCTCCGTTTGGAAACGGAATTCTCAGAATTAATATACTTTCTTCTTACGTAACTTTATTTTTAGTAAAGACTTGTGTATAAAGGTTTGAGTTACACATATTTGTTCAGTTTTTAAGCGTAAATCACTTTTAATCCATGTATGCAGATTAAAATAGTTTATCAAAACTAATTAGTAATTTATAAAGTTAATTTAAGTTTGTAAAAATATCCTTATTTAAAATTTCACTAAATTTTCTCTTTTCATCCTTTTCTCTAAATAATGATTTATCGTTTTTAGGAAAAAATATCCTCCCAATTTTTTTTTTCAAATTAAAAAGTATTTGTTCTCACGTAATAAAAAAAAAAAGAAATTAATTCACAATTAAGCATTAATGCTTTATTTGGAAGGGTAGAATTGAGAGAGAAAGAAATAAAATAGAATGATTTAGAATAGAAAAGCACAGGTTCTCCCGTTCCAAAAGAATGGATACGGATGAAAGTGATTTATGGGAGTGGTAGAGAGCCTACTAAAAACAATTTCTTGTGGTGAGAAATAGAAGGAAGATTCATCTATTGTTGCAATTTACTAAAATATCCTCTCTCTTTTTTCTTAATTTTTGCTTGCTGATGCCCCCATTTAATCTATTCCTTCCTCCTGCAGTTAACTAAAGACCATTCCATCTTGTGGAAAAAGTTCTCTCATAACCTGTTTGTGTGTTCTGCTTGTTTGCCTTTCAAAGAGTAAAATGCATTTTCTTTCTCTTTGATATGATTTTTTTTTGTTGAAAAGAAAAAAAAGGTAAATTTTTTAAAATTAAAGATAAAGAAATTATATATGAATAATCATTTCAAGGATAAAAATGATCTTTTAAATACAAGTGTCAAATAAACTAATTTATTAATTATTAAATTAATCTTACATATAACTTTTTAATCATTTTAGTTTAAGCAATGTATTGCAAAGTATGAAATAGGAGAGAAATATTTGTTAATTTTTTATCATTTTAGCATCAAGTTATTTTTTAGCACCGAGTTATTTTTCTGTAACGTAACTTACGAGGACATAAGAAAATTTTTGCATGAAATAATTGAATATTTTGTATAATAGAATATACTTTAAGAAATTAATCTTAATTTATTAAGAATAAGATTTAACACTTATAAATAATCAGATTTTAAAATTACTTTATAATAAATTTTAAATTAATATTTCAATTCAATACAAAAAATAAATCTAATAACATTATCACAATTTATATTATTCACGTAAGATACTATATTTTTTTTATAAAATATATTTTATAATTCATTTAATTTTATAATATGATGAATATTTTTTATTGTATATATAGTTTAATTTTACTAAATTATCTTTTATTTAAAGTCTAATTTTTTTTTATGTCTTAACTTTTCTTTCATACTCTATTATTTTCTTTGAATGTATTAAAGTTGCAAACCATTTATATCTTGTATGTTTTTACTAGCATGATAATTTATATCAAGTAAAAGTAATTCAACAATAGCATGGGGCATTGTACTGTGTTTGTAAAGATAAATAAAACTAATTTAAAGCTTATTTGACTAGCTTTAAAGTTGGACAACCTGGGCACATTCCTCGAGTAGAATTGCGATAAAGAACGAACGTCACTTTCTAATGCCAAACGGGTCTTATTTCTCTCTCTGTCTGTCGAAATAAATGTCTGAGCTTATCTCTCTCTAAGATGGGACACATCAACAGATTGCCGCATGAATCTTACGTGGCGTCACCAATCTTATGCACATGCAGCAGCTACACAATCCTATTTTTTATTTGAGTTTTTTAATTTGTGTGCGAGGCACATGGTAAGAAAATTATAAAATTATAACTTTTTAATAAGGATCCTGGTAGTTTTATTATATTTCATTTTAAAGAAATATTATATGTAACATTAAATTGTATTTTCTATTTCTCTTGCTAATAAGGATCCTGGTAATAGTAATTAAGGTTTCAAAGAATGCAAGGTTTCTATTAAAAATTTGATAACTATCCTAATGGAAATGTATTTTATTTTTTTTATAAAATATATATATATACAATTAAATAACTACATAAGAAAAATTATATTTTTAAAAATAATTAGATATAATAAAATTATTTTTAAATTAGTTTAACTTAACTTTACTGTTGCTAATAGTATATATCAAAATGATAAAAATTTAAAAAGTTAAATAATTTAAAAAATCATCTTAAAATAATATTTTTATTGTATAATGTAAAAATTTTAATTGAATAATAATAATAAATATATATTAATAATTATAAATTCAAAAAATTAAATTATTTAAAAAGTTCAAATTATAAAATAAAGGTATTTTTACAAATATAAAAACAGATATTGAATTTTTTTTTAAAAATCATTTAAAATATACATTTAGAATGAAATTAACAAAAAATATAGATAAAAAAGTAAAAATATTTTAAAATTATAATTCACATACTATCTAATTTAATTTTAATATTAAAATATACATATTACAAAATAAAATAATTTAATCAATAATTCACTTTCTAGATAATGTACTTTTATTTATAATATAAATATTAAATAATAATATTAATTAATGCATATTAAAAATGTGTTAAAAATTTATTACTAACATTTTTTATTTATAATATGAAAATTAATTTAATTTTTTTAAATATAATTTAAATATAATTCAAAATTAATTTTGTACTAAAATGCATATACCATAAATTATGAAAAAAATAGTTTTATGTATATTTAATTTTTAAATAGTAAAATTTCATTTATAATATGTGTATATTAATAAAAATTTTAACAAGTAATTAAAAAATATAATATTTATAATTTTTAATAAGTATCTTTAAGATATTGGTTAACATATATTTTTATATTAATTTATTTTTGTGTTATATTTTGTTATTTAGTTATTAGCTCCGAATATATAAATTGATTTTTAACTTATATAACTATTTCATGAAATTTTATCAATCTTCACCAGTAAAAACTTTACAAGTTGAATTATTATACATTTTGCATAGCATATCCTAATAAATAGAAGCAATTTTTTAGAAACGAGAAAAAGTCGATTCAGCCCTTCTACTTTTCTATTAATGAAAATCACCTAGAGTGCTTCATTGGCTAACGACAGGTTGGTGCAGCAGCTTTGAAGATACAAATGTTTGTGAAATGTGATTAAACAAATAACTTTATTTTAACATGTGTGTGGAAGAATATATAATAATAAATAACATTTTTTTTATTAAAAGCTATAAAATTTAATATTATCTATATATACACACACGTTAAAAAAAATAAAAGAATAAAAAAGCAAAAGCAACTTAAAAAAAGAAAAGAGAAAAGAGAAGAAAACGTGGAAGGCAGAAAGAAAATGTTTATAAATAAAGGAAGAGGTTCCATTTTGGTGGAAAGAAAGGGAAAAAAGAGAGAGAAGGTGGATAGGGTGATACAGAGTTTGTCTATTCATCTTCGTCCTTGTTGGGTTCTTCCTTCGCAATCACACCTCTCTCTCTCCGACATTCGCGACAGGCAAGACCCTCATTTCACTCTTCTCTTCTCTCACTCTCCACGTTTTACCCTAACTGCCCCCTCTCTTTCATCAACATTTTCTTCATCACTCTTCTCTCCACTCTTTACTTTTTCTTTCGCCCTTTTCTTCTGTTTTTTGTCGATTTTTTCTCTACGCTTAACCCTAGCTATCCTCTAACGTGCTTCCGCAGCGACATTAATTATTACAATTTTCCGCTTCTTTGCGGTTCACGATAGCAATACACACGCTCTTGCTTCCCGAGTGTTCTATCATTTTCTGTGCCGCGTTTTCTATTATTATTTCCCTCTGTTTTCTGCGATGACAAATACACTTCTGGAACTCTCTGACACGACTAGTTGTTGTTGTTGATGATGATATTATTATTATTATTATTATTATTATTATTATTATTGGATTTGGTTTGGTGGAAAGAGGAAAAAAATGGAAGGAAAGGCGAATTTTCAAGTGATGATTTTGTTTCCTTTTTGGTAACATGGGAGTTCGAAACTCTGAGCGTGTCAAGCTTGAATAAGAAATGAGATAACGCCTTATTTTGGCCGAGGATTTGGGTGTCTCGTATATTTTGTATTCAGAATCAGTGAATGATTGATAGTTTGATACTGTAATTAATTATTAATTGGCGTCATTTATTGTTTTGGAAACTGATATTAAGCTGCTGAGTGTTCTGATTTCATTTCTGTATTTTTTTTGTTGGGTACAATTCTGTATTTCACTCTGCTTATATGTTTGTATTAATTTATCATTTATTTTGAAGTTATGCCTAATGTACAACGGTGCTTTTGTAATTTTTATTTTTGTGGGTTGTTTTCTTAATCATTTCGTACTTGTTTTTAGGAGGTACGTGTTCCGTACTTAAACACTGTCGGTGAAGAAAAGTAAAAATTAATTTACAAAACCAAATAAAATAAGGAAGCCAATGCTTATCCACATTTACTTTGAGTTTTATGCTTACAAATGGGGGTCGTTTTAACTTGGGATTGCCATTTTGTTTTCCCTTTACTCTCTGATTCATGGTTTGGTTTTGCAAGTACTGGGATTTTTCTTTTATGAACTTTTAAGTAAAGGGGATCATTTTTTGGTCTTGTGTCTGATAGTCATTATTTAAGTGTTTTTAGTGACGACTCATGTACTTATCATGCAGAGACTGGAGCCAGAGAAGAAAAAGATAATATATGGAGGACGGCGCAGGAAGAGGTTTGGAATGCCAGAAGATTATGGATGGGAAGGCGAGTAACGGAAATGGTGTAGAGAAGGAAATTCCTTCTTGTTGTTTGAAGGCTAAGGCTTCAGCCCCTGAGTTGGAGGCGAAGTGTCATTCCACTGTTGTTTCTGGGTGGTTCTCAGTATCTCAAACTTGCTCTGGTCATTATCTGCTATTATTTTTTGTATTCTTCGACTTCTGTTTCACTTACAATAGTTGGACCTGATTACCGTTGTAAATAGATTACTGTTGTTCATTACTTTCTTCTATTTTATCTTCTTTTTTACAGGGAAGTCTGGGAAAGCTGTTTATTTCAACAACCCAATGTGGCCAGGTGGGTCTTACTGGTACTTCTGTAATTCTGCACTGTGCATGTGTTATTGCCATATGACTATTGGAGTGAGTTTATGTAGTTATGCAATAGTTTTTACTTTCCTACTTTTTTGAATTTCAAGTCAAGATCACCAACGTCCATATTTTCCAGTCATTTCTTAAAACTCCCACTTTGGTCGCTGAGTATGCACCTTATTTGCGTATGATTTGATTAATGCTGATGGCTTTTGTGTCTATCATTAGGAGAAGCACATTCAATCAAAGTAGATGAGATCTTATACAAGGAAAGGTCAGAGTACCAAGAGGTCTTGGTTTTTGAGGTTTGTCTCTCTTAATCTTATAATGTTCTCTAAATTCTACCTTAAGAGATTAACACTAATCATTTTATTTTTTTTTGCAGTCATCAACATATGGCAAAGTGCTTGTGCTTGATGGGATTGTTCAGTTGACTGAGAAGGATGAATGTGCTTATCAGGAGATGATTGCTCATCTTCCCCTCTGTTCAATTCTGTCCCCCAAAAATGTAAAGTCGTTTGATCTAATGATTTTGGATCTCAGCTTATATGATGTCTTCCTGTTAAAAAATATTTTAGTTGTTTCTGTTTTGATTTAAAAATATGGTTTCTTATCATCACAAGGCGAAAATGGTTTTTCTGAAGTTGCATACTTCCTTTGTGATTCAGCAATTTAGCATTTGTTTTATTGTGTTCTGTTCTTCTAGTATTTCTATCACTGCTATATAATCATGATTGACTTGCCAGTTGTTATTTCCATTTCCAATGCTCTCATCTGCATGGAGGAAAGTGTTTGAGACATTAAAAAATAAGTTTGATTGAATATACTCCACTTTTCTATGCTTTCTTTATCTTCCTCTCTGTTTTCGTATTCTGCTTAATGATTTTTATGTTCTTAATTCAGGTGTTAGTTGTTGGTGGTGGAGATGGTGGAGTTCTAAGGGAAGTATCCCGTCACAGCTCTGTGGAATGTATTGATATTTGTGAGATAGATAAGATGGTTATTGATGTAAGTAACATCATACTTTAGTCATTAATATAACTGATTTTATTATGGAGAAGAACCTATTGCCATGGTTATTTTGTAGGTTTCTAGGGAGTTTTTTCCGGAGTTAGCTGTTGGGTTTGAAGATTCTCGAGTACACCTGCACGTTGGTGATGGTAATATTTATATTATCTGCAAATCTTAGTTTTAATTTGATGTATAATTTATTTACTGATTGCAAACTGTATGATTATTCACCTGATATTATTTTTCACCCATCTTTGGCAGCTGTTGACTTTCTTAGACATGCTCCAGAAGGGAAATATGATGCCATAATTGTTGATTCCTCAGATCCTGTGGGTATGTCATATCAGTTTAAAATTATTCATTCATCCAAGATATTCACTTAGGCCTGTGTATTTTTGGAATCAATACTTAAAAGAAAATGTGTTTGTTATTAAGAAATGAAAAATAATGTTGAGGAAGAACTATATTTTTATTGACATTGCCCAATTAGATGAGGTTCACCTGAATCTGACACACTTACATATTAGGGCTATTGGCCACAACTTTGGTGTCTAGCATTTATTCACGAGGAAATTTCAGTGAAAAACAATGTTTGTGACTGTGTTAGCTGGTTTAATAATATTGATCAGCTATCTGCATGTGCCTACATTCCGCTCTGTTGAATTTTATTCAAAAGTTTCATGAAAAATGGTTTTCTCGAAATTTTAGATGCTAAATTGTTTACTCTGAATCCACTAAACTATTAGCCACATACTTATCATATAGAAAGATTGAGATTCTTTGCTTGTTGGTTATTATTATCAACAATTTACAGGATAGCTTGTGTAATTTAGGTCCTGCGCAAGAACTTGTTGAGAAGCCTTTCTTTGAGACAATAGCTAAGGCATTAAGGCCTGGCGGAGTTCTCTGTAATATGGCAGAAAGTATGTGGCTTCATACACACCTTGTCCAAGATATGATCTCTGTTTGTCGAGAAACATTCAAAGGTTCTGTACACTATGCATGGGCAAGTGTACCAACTTATCCAAGGTAGTTGTGCTTTTCAACATGCTGACAAAATAATATTCTGTTCCACTTCAAAGTTCCTTTGATGTTACTTTTAGAAATTTTCTTTTCTCAACTTATGCTTCCACCTGGTGTAAGAGTGAAAGTAATTTTTCTTACAGCGGTGGTTACACCTCTTGATAAAGAGAGTCCCACTGATGCGGGCCTACCATAATAGTGGGGACCCTAAAGGTATATGATTATGATTGGTGTCAATCCTAGCTTTTTTGGGTGTGTCACGTTGTTGCTTTAGTTTGTTCCAAAGTTTAGTAGGTCTTCACTTAACCTCTTGAGAGGTGTCAACTTTCAATTTGTTATAAATATAATGGTAAATTATATGGTTTAGGAAACACTTTTACATGACTTTTAGGCTAAGGATAGGTTTTAGTAATGTACTAGTAGGCAAAATCCAAATAAAAAGAGTGAACTCTGCTACCGAGTGCATTTCATTTTTGTTCTGTTAAGAAAAATGATTTACATTTTGGTTTATCTAGATGATATTGGTGACTGTATACTGTTTAACGGCTGCCTTCCTTGGCATGCAGTGGTGTGATAGGTTTTCTTCTATGCTCAACAGAAGGACCACCTGTTGATTTTGTAAACCCAATCAACCCCATTGAAAAGTTGGAAGGTGCTAGTGAGCACAGAAGAGAACTTCGATTCTATAACTCAGAGGTAAATATGTGGTCCGTAGATAGCTGATGCTTCTACTTATATAACCTTTGTTGGTGTGAACGATTTATATTCTTATTTGTAGATCGTAACCAAAGGTAATAATAGCATGTGGTTTTGTGTGTGTGTGTGTGTGTGTGTGTGTGTGTGTGTGTGTGTGTGTTTCTCAATGAAGTTCTGCTCTGGTTTTTCAATACTAATGTTTTGGACTAATGCTATTAGCATCTGGCTTTGTGTGTGTGTGTGCGCGCGCACGCGCGTTTGTATATTCATATACAGTAAAATCTATTAGTATGGATGCTTCCCCGCGTCCCATTTCAGCAAATACCTACCCGCTAGTATGATTCTATGATCTTTTTTTGGTGCAGATGCACTCAGCTGCTTTTGCGTTGCCCGCGTTTCTGAAGAGGGAAGTGAGCCTGCTCCGTGATTACTCCATTAAGTAGCAATGTATGTTTGCGTATTGTAACCCCTAAAATAAACAATTTTGGCTTCATAGTCATTCGGGGTGGTAAAACTAGTGTGGGAGAAATAGGAACCATGTTTGATTACTTATGTTAAACCAATTATGTGTGTGGAGTATGGTTACTACGTTGAACTCTTTGGGCGATCTTGGATGGCTTCGTTTCTTTCGATTATTTTAATCATATTATAAGCTTTTTGCTCCACATGCTTGTAAAACATGCCTTACCAATTATTAAATATATAATAATAATATACGGAAATAATTTGTGGTGCAAATATGGATTTTGAGATTATATTTCTTATTGAAACTTCCTGTGTATGCGAATTTGAAGAATTGATTGGAAATTTGGAACAATTGCTGAGTTGATCAACCCGTAGAAACGAGCATTTAATTTTGAATGAGTAACAATAATTTAATGAATCTGCTGTGAATAAGCACGGGTTGGGTTGGGTTGGGTAGTTATAACATATGATCCAAACTCCAAATCCTTATTTTGGTGCTGTGTCATGGAACTTGGTCAGTGGTATGTTTGGGTGTTGGATTTTAAAGGAAAAGTAGTTGGATAACTTTTTATTTTTAAAGATAGACATAATATTCATAAAAAAATATATTAACACGTTAACTTTATATTAGTTTATTTTACGATTGTTATTTGAAAAAATAATGAAAATCTGTCTTTTTCTTTTTAAAACTTAACTCTCAATTACAGCTTAAAGGAGAAACAGGGTCAAAGACAGTGGAAGTGGAAAGAAAATTAAATTTATTGAGTATATCTGTTTTGATTTATAGAAAAATAGAAAAGTGAGCTACTAGAAATTGTATCAGTTAATTGGACAATACTTGCTTCCTCACTCTTAAATTTGGTATTCAGTGATCACATTATTAGTGTATAAAGTCAATTAAAGGTTTTTGCGTGCTTGAGTGGAGTTATTTTCAAGAAATGAATTTTTGAAAGTTTTTTCAAAGATATTAAAATAATTTGTTACAAAATACACCAATGTTAATGAGGACCAAATTTTCTATCAAAATAGGATTTTTTATTATTCTTATTCTTATAATGATGCAAAACTTGTATGTAAAATATATACCCTAATAATGAATCAAATCAAGTTATAGTTTTTTTTTTTTTTGTGAAGATAAAATAAATATTTTTTTAACATTTTTGGTTGATGCAATCAATAGACCCTAAAAATATCAATTCCTATTTATAGGATATTTTTCAACCTTTACTTTTAAAAATGATTTCACATATCTCAGAAAAAAAAAATGAATCCACATATTTTATTAACTAATAACTAATATTTAATTACGTGTTTCATGTAATTGAAATGTAACTATAAAAATAATTTTTTTATACCTTTTCGGGTCTAGAACATCCCAATATAACTTGATAATTTTTTGTCCCATGTTTTAGTTTTACATATATAAGATTCAGCTAACTATTAGTCACGAACTGTTAGGGGTCAATTTATATTATTTAGTAGTTTCGTTTGGTGGAAGTGGGAAAACTTATTTTTATTTATTGTCTTATAATTCGTGCACTAATAGCAAGTTTGAATTCATGTTTTAAAATCTATAAATTTACATGTATTTTAATGTTATTAATTATAACTTTTATATTTTTTTTATGTTGAACCTATAATTACAACTTTTTCAATACATTTGCAGACACCAGGTTAAATTTGATGATGTGCGCAGACGGTTATAATATTAATATTCTATAAAAATAAAAGATATTTAAAAAGAATAAATTTTTAAAATTCATCTTCAATAGGCATTAGCTGAATATTTTAATTTGACATTTCAAAAATGCTCAGCTAGTGTTTTGACTTCATAAAAGTTATTTATTTTAGCCCCTTTTATTTTATTTTTATCTTCTTATACCAAAATGAATTAAAGTAAATGATGTTTCGTAAAGTTAAAGATTAATGAAGGGAATTTAAAATTTTCAGAATTAAAGTTTCAGAATTTAAAATTAAAGTATTTATTTTCAATTAAGTAGAGCACTTAATGAAATATTCACCATAATTATTTAAAATAGCAATAACTTCTCCTAAAGCAAAAGTACAGTAATACCCGAGATAATTTTTAAATTATTTGAACTATCACATTCACCAACCAGCAAAAAGGGAAAAAGAAAACAGCGAGTGAAAAAAAAATTGTTCATTTTGAGTTTCATTCACCAAAGAAAAGCAATCAACAGCAATAATATTTATATATACAACTTCGTAGTTCATATATTTTATAGACATTCTATATCTTACACTAGCTTACAAAATAAAATAAATATATGAAATGACATTTTGGCTTACAATCAAAAAGGTCATTTCATTTTAACTTTTCCTCCACTTGAGTCCTTTCTTTTCATAAAGAACCAGGCATCAATAACCATTTTATAACCCTATTGCTCTTCGGCAGTAAAATCAGGCTCAGCAGGCTTCTGCAGTAGCATAGGTGATATTCTCTCTGGCACCCTTGTCTTCCTTGTGCCATTTCTACGTAAGGCTCTAAGTGCATTAGCTGCAAATCTTGAAGCATATATTGTGGCCCCTAAACTAGGTGAACTACCACCTGCTTTGGCCAATGCATCTTGCAACCTATTCTCCTCTTCCCTGAGAGACTCTTCAAGCTTCTTTTTGCTATAACGCCTCCACGCTGCTTGTATGAAACATGCAGCCCACGTACGCCACTGTTGTGAGTAAAACCTAAAAGTGTGGCGAAGCTGCTTACTATGAAGGCGTCGAAATTGAGATGCAACAAACTTCAAGTCATCAGCTTTTAGAGCAAAGGCTTCCACTTCTGAAAGAGTTTGGACAGTTCTGGTTGAGATGGGAAGGTTGGATGAGGAGTGAGGATCTAATGCCCATGTGAGAAGCTCCTCTCCACAAAAGTCACCAGCCTTGAGGTATTCAGAGTTAAAGAAGCCTGTTCTTCCACCATTAGTTGTCACAGTCAATAGCTTGCCTCGCATTATGAAGAGCATTTCATCTACAGGATCTCCTTCCCGAACGATGCAGCTTTCTTCTGTATACAGCACTGGCTTGAGACAGTCACACATTGCATCCAAAAGTTGCTCATCCATTTTCTCAAACATTGGTACCTGAAGTTCATGCAAGAGAAAGATGCAAGTAGTTATTACTAACGTTATATAGAAAATCAACTATAGCTTCAAAGCTTCCACTGGTAATGATAATCAGTTTATTTTTCAAGGATTGTCTAGAGTCCATCAGTCAAGGAACACATGCACAAACTATGTTTATCATCTCTAAATGCCATTTAGTTAACCATAGAAGACCATAACGCTCTAGAATTCCTAATAAAGCTCGCACAACACTCCTTTAAAGAATTCATATGTACATCGAACACATTGAAAAATATTACCGAGGAAAGCAGAAAAAAAAATTGCATATAGCTACACAGTACAGCACCTGAATGTTTTTTTTTCAATCTACCTAGAAGCAAAGTCCAGAATTTTTTGAAATTAGGCCAGTATTTCTGTTGTATTTATGCAGAAGTATACATATCTTCCTATCCAATGGATATTCTATTAATTGCGGACCAAATAAAAAAAATAATATAGGACAAGTAAATTTTCATTTTCAATCTTGCTAGACATTTTGGAAAGTGTGTTCAATGTAGGAATTCACAACCACTTCAACACATGGACGGTTCAAAAATTTTCCAGTTTGAAATAACTGAAAAAAGAAATAAAGTTCAGTCACAGTAAAAGAATGTTAGGAACACTATAAAAGAAAACTGTGATATGGAGAACCTTACCCTCATCAGCAAAGCCAAGCAAAGATGACGCTTAATATCCCTTCTTAAATCCTTGGGAAGATCTCGAATCAAATTGTCTTCATCAACACCTCTGGTTTCTTGCCATTTGTATTGCTCATGTCGTCTGATTCTTTCTCTTAGGCTGTCAGGGAGTAATCGATGAGACATCCACTGTTCTGCATCTCTCCTTTTCACTCTCATCTCCTCCAATCTTGTAGTTGTTGACTGCAGATATGTCTGTTTCAAAGAAAAGTATAACGAGTCAAAATGGAGAAGAAAAATAACCTTAAAACAGAATGGCATAGCTGTTAAATCAGTTTCCAAGCAGAAATATGAAAATAAAAGAATCAGGACTAATATTTTTGGGTATATCTACAATATGATAAGAAAAAATAGTGAAATATATAGACAATAATATGGAAGAGGAAGAGCATTAGAAACACATTTTCATGCATGCTTACCTAGAGAGAATTACTTTATAATCAAGAACCTACATTGTTCACCCTATTTCAGGAAATTCTGAACATTCCAAATGTAACAATAAGTGTTCTAATAGACAAAGTGGATTATGATGTTCTATTTCATGAGGAAGTCTCCCAAATGGAAAATCTTGATCAACTGACAATAGAAGAATTTACAGCAAAAAAAAACTGCTATCATTAAAAAGGAGAGGCCCTGAAGGGGGGGAGACAGATCTCAGGAGAAAAATATGGTACTGATAACCATTTTGGAAGTGAAGCATGCCAGTATTATTGCCTCATTAACAGACACTAAAGAGATATTTGACACCAACCTGCATATTTCCAATGAGGAATGCAAATAACACCAAACCAGCAATGGAAATGAAAATTGCAAAGCAGATTTCCCAAACATAGGTACTTGTTGCCAGGTTCTGACCGAGAGAACTGCAATAAAGAAATCCAGCTCCCCCGAAAGAGGATGGAGGAATATTTATAAAATGTCAAATAACAACTTAGTTAAAATAAGCTCAACATCGTTCATCAAAATCAATATTCAAAGCATACTAAGCTACGATATGTACGATATGCAACTTCAAAAAAGATAATTGGCTGACATCTCTCCCAGTCCCCCACCTCATGATTGAGGCATTAAACAAACTGAAAACTGAAGCCAAAAGCATTTTCTCATTTAAGCAGCAAATCAGAAGTCATCTAACATCTACATGCTTTAAATTTTATAACTTCCGTAATTGAACATTAACACCATTCAAATCACAAGAAAAATAGACATAGAATCATATAAGACAAACATACTTATTATTTGTCCCTTTATCCACAAATATCATATGCCCAAACAAACCCTCAAACACACATGCCTTTTGTACACAAAACATGGGTAAAGATGCACGTATTGAATATGCACATGCACTGAAAGAGAGAATACTTTTATCCAAGCATTGTCAGCAAAAAGAACTATAATAAATAATTTCTACACTATGAGCAAGCAGACATATGGAGTCCAAGCACAGTTACAGGTTGCTTGCATCACACTCATAGATGACATCAACTCAATAGATTTCTCACCAAAATCATATCACG